AATGGAGGGCAGGAGAGGCAGGGAAGGGAATTTGCTGCTTGTGGATCAGGGAAGCCATTAGGAGGCTCTCTGCTCTAGGCTTTTGACTAAATCATACTCAACATCGTGGTTTTAGATCAATTGCAGCCAAACTTTCCCAGTTCCTTTGTTTCCTTCCGCAGCCTGCAAGAAAACTTTCCAAACAGGCATTGAAAAACTGTCTTGTTTATATTTTAATGGATGCACACCACTGGCCCCAAGTGCTTCTTAGGAAACAGTGTGAGAAGCCAAAACTAAATCTTTATTCCTCTATATTTTCCATCCATTGTTTCTAGAGCCACTGCTTAATTGAAAGAACAAAATATGGGCAATGCCAAATTGGACAGGGGAAAAGCAGCTCAGGGATTTGAAAGCAATCAGGGAGGCTCTGGGGCACAAAGAGGTTAATTTCTTAATCTAAAAGTGATAGTACAAAAAGAGAGGAAGCGTTACTACACCTGTTGCTTTCCAGCATAGATAAAATGAATGCTGGGGGGTTTGTTTTTATTTATATGTTTATTTGTTTACATTTATGTTTTTAAATAGTAAAATGCCAGCATTGGCAGCAGCCTGGGCTGCAGTGATCATGTCCTGGTGGTTTTCACAATGTTACTACACCTGTTGCTTTCCCGCAGATAAAATGAATGCTGGGAGGTTTGTTTTTATTGATATGTTTATTTGTTTACATTTATGTTTTTAAATAGTAAAATGCCAGCATTGGCAGCAGCCTGGGCTGCAGTGATCATGTCCTGGTGGTTTTCACAAGCCTGAGGTATACAGGCCAGGCAAAGAATCAGAACACTGAATTTTAGAAGACCAAACTTTTAGTTGTTTAAGGAATCAGTGGATGGGACTGCCTGGACAACTTCCTTCAGGGATAAAGGAGCTGTGCCACTCTTTAAGAACATATTTATTCAAGCAAAGAGCCTCAATTCTTCTTTTGGAGCAGCTGTCAGAGCTGTGCAAGTGAAGCACCTGGGGTGGCTGGTGTGACAGTAGTTTCAGGTTGAATCACCACATTGCTGCAATAAATTGGACTGGGAATGCTGAATGCTCTTTTGGTTGTCTTTGCTGAAAAGGATGAAACTAAAGTGTGTTTACCCTTTGTAAAGATGAAGAAAGAGCCCCTTAGGAGGTCTTTTCTCTTGCAGTTGGTGGAAAGTGCAGTCCACTGGGGTTTGGATAGGTCCTGGGTCACGTTTTCAGTGATTTCTGAACATTATACTGGTACTGGAGCAGTTCAGAAGCTGCCACATCCACCAAGTGCACATCTCTAATACCTGTGACCAAATCACACAGGAAAACAGTACAGAAGTCAACAATAAGTTACAAGGCTGCTTTTATTAAGATACCAAAATTCCTATAAACAGACTCAGTCACAAGTAACAGTTTCTGCTGAGCGTGCAAGGTCTCAAATACAAGTTACTGGTTGACATTTCATCCTGAGGAGTAGTGCTCAGCTTTTGAAAATGGCATAGCTCCACCAAAATCAGCAGGCAGATCTCTAATTCTGTCACCTCCAAGAAGTTCAGGATTGTAAGTACTAAAAACTAGAAAAATATTTATAGTAAAATAGCTGATCCTGTCACTGAGTGCAGAAGGCAAACATATTGCACATTTGACAGCAAACTGAGCGAAAGTTAAGAGACTCCTACACAAGAACTAATGGTTATGGTTGTCCAAAGAAGCTGGACACTTCCCCATCCCTGGAAGTGTCCAAAGCCAGGCTGAGCACCCTGGGATAGTGGAAGTTTTCCTGCCCATGGCAGGGACTTGGAGGTAGGTGGTCTTTAAGGTCCCTTCCAACCCAAACCATTCAATGATTCCACATTCATCAGACTAAGACTGCAAAGGTAATTTATAGTTTCACCACTTACAACTAAATGGATTTTTAATTTTTTTTTTTATCAGGATCTGGTAACTCTTATTTCTATAAGGAAAAGACAAGTCAAAGTGTCTCACTCCTTATAGAGTCACTTCAATGTAAAGCAGAACGCAAATGATTACTCTGAAATTTATTGATATATTTAATAGGTATATATAAAAGCTCTAAATCAGTACAACCTTTTGCAAAATGTGGAAATCTTTTACCCAGTAATCTTACTACCTAATGGAAATTGGACTAGGAGGATAGAAAAACCACTTTCCTATGCTATTCTGTACCCAAAAATCAGCACCTCAGTGCTATAACTACTTAGAAACATTCATGACTTCAAGCTAAGCACCATTTTCCACTAAGAGTTATTTATAATGGTGTCCATTGAGCTTAAGGAGGAATTTATTTATAAATTCCTAAGTTAGATGTGACCCAGGCACAGCAGATTATCACTGTGTAGGAGGAGTGACTGCAGCAAAACAAGGGGCTGGTGGGACAAGTTATTGACACCTCTTCACCTCCCATCTTCCAACACACTCACTGAGGTGGAGATTTGGGGCAGCAGAGAAGAGCAGCCCAGGAAAGAGCCCTGCAGGGGATGCTGACTGCATACAGAGATTTTTGCTCCAGTTGATCCAGCTGACCAGACTGTTGTTGTACCCAATGGACCGTGTAAAGTGAGCCTGTGCTGCTGCACTGATGGTCTTGCAGCCAGGCAAAAAATTCAGGTCAAATTTAGAACTCTTCATTTGCAATTGGAGAGCTCTCTTAGGTGGGCAGCAGTGTGTGGCTTGACTGTACAACCATTAGGGTCTAACTGAGCTGAATACACAGGGACCAACTGATTTATCTGGAAAAACATGGGCTGCCAGCAACAAACATAACTTCTTTTTTTTTTCCCTTCTTTTCCACTGAAGCCTTGTCAGTTACAGAATGAATCAAACTTAAAAACTCATGCTGAAGAACACCCTGAGCAGGTTAAGCCCCAGATCCACAGTGGCTTTTCCTTACTTGGTGGCAAGTCCAATGCTTGTTCCCCAGCTTCTGTATACCTAAGGCGTTGCAGTTAGCTCTTCAACGCTGGTGCAGCTCAAAGTTTCAACCTCACCCTGAGTAAACAGCAAACTACAGACTGAAAAAGAGATCTCTCTGAGGGTTTGCTGATTTACTTCCTTGAATATCAATGGAAACATGCAGCTTGACAATATTAATGGCACAAGTGATGCTAAGATGAGCACATAGTGATCTGCCACAGTGAGAAAACCAGATCTTGAAACTCAAAAAGAGACACAGATGTCTTTGTTTTCTTCCCTTCTATTTTATCAGTGGAAAAACTGCCAAAATTCACTTCAGCCTGGAGCTGTTGTCACAAAGAAAGGCAAGAACCAGATTTCTAAGAAAAAAGAGGTGCAGGGAAGAAAGGGGATATAGAGGCTTTTTATACATTACATTAATTTGAAAGAGTCAGTGATGTGTAGAGCAAGGAAAGCAAATATTGAGTGAAGACAAACTTCAGTTCTCCATGTGATGAGACATGATCCCACTAGAAAAAAAAATATAAACCAAATTAATCAGGATTGAGACAGGCAATCAACTCCCTTCCAAAGACAGTGGATAAATAGGACAGAAGAGCTGAGTAGTGCCAGCTCCAAAATGGAGCCATCAGCTGAGGTTCCATCATGATGTAGAATTGTTATGAGCCTGACAAGATCCTTTATGCTGCAGCATCTTTGCACAACTCCAGAATTCCCATTACTACGAGGTATTACTCAGGAGAGCAGAATGATGAATGCAAGAGAAGCCATTCTTGCTCTGTGGAGAGACTCAGAGATGTCATGTGCAGGTTTTAATTCAGTGAACCTCAATATGCCTTTTTTGCTGGGTTCTGGCTCCATGGTGGGATTTATGATGGAACTACAGCTGCTGGAGTTGCACCAAGGAGTCCCAGGTACCTTCCCTTGGGGCTCCTGGCACATCCAGCCCTTGGGAAGGCACCAGAGCATCACCCTCACCTGCAGCCATCTCCCAGGAGCTGCCCAGAGATGGGTAAGAAGCCTTGGGATGAAAGAGATGGAAATACAGCAAAATGTGACCAGTCAGGAGTTACAGGCAGGAAGCTGGGGTAGTGCTCCCTGCCCTTTTCCTGGGGTGTATATTAAACACTGCTGTGCTCAGTGAATTGGAATGAATTATCTGCAAATGCCACGGGCATGTGTCCAGTGCATTTACTGAGGCCATGGCGTTGTCCTGTGGGAGGCCTGCACCAGGGAAGGGTCACTGACTAACTCTGGCAATCATGGCAAATAAACCCTTTTCCAGGAACAGAATTCCATCCACAGCAAACATCCTTGAGCTGTGAAGTGGTGTTAGGTGTTGTTCCTCAGCCTGCCAGCTTTCTCACTTCTCCCTCCTCCCCTTAAAGAGACAAGCATGCAAGTGATGCTGAGCTGCTAGAACAGAGTAATTTTACAGAAAAAGTGCTGAATCCTGTGGTATCCTGAAAAAGTGTTTCATTCCCAAGACCACGTGGCAGTGGTCAGTTCTCCTCAGAGCTGTGTTTTCAGACTCTCTGCAGGCACGTGTAAGCACTGCTTATGCATCTCAATACTTCAAGCTCTTTATGTTTAACATCCCACTACTTTCTCAAAAAAATCTCAAAAAAATAATAATGAAGCCCAAGCTTTTGCAGAAAGAAGTAACTTTTGAGGAAAATTTATAAAGAGAGTGGCAAAGTTTCTCTCCTTTATTACACTAGTCACTGATTTAAACCCAAAAATTACATGGCTTTTTTGTGGAAATGCTTATTGGTGTTTTCTAAGGTGATGTGTCATTTACTCTGACTGAGATCAAAGCCATGAAGGAAGATGAAGAACAAAATGCTGTCTTCCTCCCCTTGTAGTTTGCATCATTTGAAAACAGGGAAGAACAGCAGGAATTTCTTTCTTACTTGTATGGCCTTTACCCACAGCAAAAAGGATAGCAGGTTCAACTATTCTCATATAAAAGCTGGTCATCTACAAGTATTTCACCATTTCAGAACGAGATAAACAGCTAAAAAATGCAACTGGTCATAATTGAGTACTTACAGGTGGTAACCTGTGAGTCACTACTCATAGAACACTTGGTAGCTGAAGTTGTCAGGCTTGATGCTGAGGTTGTACCTTCCTGTCTTTCGCTGGTACTGGAAAATGAGAAGGGTCACAACTCCCAGCACAAAACCAAACACAGCAAGGGCGATGAGGATGATGTATCCAATTCCCATTCCAGCCTCCTTCTCTCTCTTGGAATCAGATGCTAATAAATAAATAAATCAAGAGGTGAAAGAAAAAATCTTGAAATTCCTAAATCTTGAACTGTGGAGAGAAACAAGCCCTGCCTGTTAATTAGCCAATGTGCCAGTACAGAAGTGTCTACAGCTGTGCTACAGAAGTGTCTCAGCCTTTTGGGGAGGGTGCTTCTCATGAAAAGGGTGTGAGGACAGACCATGTTCTCTTTTTACACACCAGTGTAGAGTCCCTGCAGACATGAGTGTGATTTTCAGCTAAAGTAAGAGTTAAAGAATTAGTACTGGTGACTTTTTAAAATGCTGCCTTACTTTCACAAGTACTTTAGAGATGGAGTATTCCCCTATCTGAATCCTGCCTCCATTCATTTATGATTATAAAAATGACTTGATTTGCTTTTATCATCTATGCAACTGTTCTTCAAACACAGAGTATTTGGGGAAGGATTCCCTGTGTCTGCTGGGTCTCAAAGCTCCCAGCTGAGCCAGCAGAGATGTGGCTCAGTGGAGTGACACTGGCTTGGTCACCACGAGCTCAGTGTTGCACCTGAGCAGGGATTGGAGCCAGCTGAGCAGCCTGAGGTTGGCTGCAATGTCTGCACAAGCCTGGCAGACAGGGCACAGGACCTGCAGGAGACCTGTGCTCTGCTGGAAGAGCACCCACACTCAGAGGGGAAGCAAAGAACGACCCAAATGCCCCAGTGTGGCAAAAGTCAAGTCCCACATGTCCAAGGCACCACAGATCACAGACAGAAAGTGTTCCCCTAGTTCCCTTTGAAACATTCCATACATTTGTCCAAACCTGCAAGCAGAAACCCCTCTCCCTTTATTATTATGTCTGTCTTCATGTTTGTACAAGTTCTTATAATTCCTTCCTGCAAGGGCTCTATGCACCTACAAAAACCTGCATTTGTTTGCTTACATTTTCAGGACAGCACTTGTTTTGCCAAGCACTTGTGTGGTACCCGAGGTACACAGAAGATAAATATCACTGCACACACACCTGCAATTAGAGACAAGGTTTTTGGCCAAAGGGCACTGCTGGCAGCCACAAAGGTCAGTAAGAGCAGTGCTCAAGCTACAGACACCCAGGGCATCATTCCAAGACAGGCCAAAGCAGTGCTGTGTAATATATTCAGTCTCATTTTTGAATTTCAGCATAAAACAAAGGAATAAAGTAGAACATGAGCAGTGGAAATGGCAGCCTGTAGCCAGACACAGAGCAGGCCCTCCTGGGGATGAGTGGCCTTTGCCATAACATATGATCAAGTGTTGGCAGAGAAGGTCAAGCTTTTCATATTTCACTGCAGCATTTACAGCTGTTCTTACTGACATCATCATTCATGTTATCCCTTTCAACACAGAGATATAGATCACTTAAAATGTGGGGTGATTATCCAAACTAGAAATAAGATACAGCATTCAAAAGTGTCACCTTTGCCTAGAAATCAACTTAGCACAACTCAGAGAAGGCTCCCCTCACCAGAGGCCCTTTAGGGAAATAACCATTTTTCAAAATTAGAAATGAATCAGGATCTCCAGCAAAAATGGGAGCAAGAGCTACTTGTTGTAAGAGCTAAACAAAGAAAGCTGCATTATTTGCTTTATATTTTTTTTAAAGAACTAATTCAGAAATGAGCACTGAGGGTCTATTTGAACAGACCATGTAATGGGAGAAAAATACATTCTTCTAAGTCAGAGTCAGTTCTTAGGTCCAAAAGAACATTATGAACTGTCTGTTTATGGCAGCCACGAGTTAACACTCTGGTATTGGTGAGGCAAACCACCCTCAATGAGTGTTTTATTTTAAGTTATAAATGTAAAGCTGGAGGGGGCCAAATGACTGAAAACATGAGAGACCAAGGGTGCCCTTGAAAGCATCACTCAGGTTAAATGCAGAAAAAGCAGGTGCATAACAAATCAGACTTTGCTTGTCCCTGGTGCTGCTGTTTGCCCTCAATTAACCTGCACTGCACCAAATTAACCAAGGGTGCTGGGCATCAGCTGTGCTCTGCCACTTCCCCTCACCACGGTAATCAAGTCAGTAGCAGGGAGCCAAAGGAAACACAACAATAAAATCTCTTACATCCTCTGATTTGGGACTTCAGAGCCCCAAAATAATTGCAGACTAACAGCAGTGTAAACACTTGGAAAACCGATTGCAATCTGAAAAATCGTCTCCGCTTTCACACCTTATAATTGAAATAATAGTTTGATTTTGTGGTTGTTGCACTTGCTACCCTGTGCAAACAGCCACACAAAAGCACTTTATCTTCCTTTCTACATTCCCTTGACAACCTGACAGTCCCTGCTCTGAGGAGGGCACGTGCTTCTCCACGCTGCCACGTGGCTCCAGCAGGAATGCCTGCTCCCAAGGAATACAGAGGGGCACAAAACCCCTGTGTGTCACAGGCCTTCGGGTTCCTTTGCCAGCACAAAATAATCCTGGCATGACAGTGTGTTCTCAACTCACCAGTTGATTTACACAGGGGTCCCCAGGATGTTCTGTGCAGGGCGATGGTTTCTCCAGCCTTCAGGAGCCGAGCCCTCGCATGGCACCTCTGCAATTCAAACTCCAACAAGTCAAGAGGCTTACTAATTCAAAATACAGAACCTTCTGATGAGCCTGTGAAAGCCCAGGGCTACTCTCACCATCCAGCTTTTGTTTCTTAATGTTATGCCCTGTTAAATTGAAATTAGCACCAAAAGGAAGTCGAAAAGAAATGGCATCAGGGAAAAATCAGTATAAAATTTGTAATTATCACACTGGAACACACTGCTGTGAACAGACATTTCACACAGACAGCCATTTCACCAACTTTCTGCTTGTTTCAGAGAAACCTTATGGGACAATTAATTTATTACTAATGCCAGGGTTTTGCAAGCACTTTTGTTTGGATGTTTGTGCTGCCCATGGCAGGCACAGCAGATGCTGCAACCAGCAACCAGCAAAAGCAGCAGCAGCTTTCAGACCCTGCCTAGCCATGTGCCATTCTGAATCTACCCACAGCTTCAGTGACAAGAGAACCATTAATCTGGGAACTACAAGGCTGAAATCCCTGTCCTGTGGGATGCTGGGGATCAGCTGCTCTGTGTGAGCAGCACTTGCACAGACACTTTCTGTGCACTTCTTCCTTTTTTTTTTATTTGTTTGCTGCCTTTTAAGTTTTAAGTCACAGCCCAAAGCTCTCAGATGGGAACCAAAACCTACTGACATTATTCAAAGGGTACACTGGCTCTCCTGGAAGGGCACAAAAAACCCCAGAGAAGTGGCAGCATCATACCATGACCAGCAAAATCAGCAGAGTGCCTTACCAGCTTGTTTACCCCAGAATGTCCCATCAGTGTTACCAGTTTGGCTGCACTGGAAAACCTCTACAATCCACTGCCAGCAGCAGTGTCTTCAGCTGGGTCAGCACCCAGAAAAACACCCATGTGGTTATTTATGACTTTGGTCTGCTCTCAAGTAGCTTTCCCAGGTAGCTGAATCTGTTAGAGAACACATTTATGTAGTTGCTCCTTGGTGGCAATGAATTTTTGGTTCCACGTGGCCATGGAGCAGCCACATTCCACCAAACATCTGCATGGTGGTGGCACATCACTCCTCTTCCCATTCAAAGTAATTTTTCTTACTCATTTCTTACTGCTTTTGTCCTCAGCCAGTCCATTTTTTTCAGCTCTAACCTTCAGAGCACTTTACTCTCTTCCAAAGAGAAAACAAGGAATAAATAGACTGAGTAAGAAGAAATAATACAAGATGTAAATATTGAGTGTGTGGATGAAAAGCTGAGCTAAACCTGCCCTGAAGCAAGTCACTATTCCCCAGAGTAACAGATCAGAGGGTCAGATCCCAGACCCAGGGCACTTTCCCAGCCATCTTACATTATTTACAAATATCCTCTGTTCTTGCTCATCTTCCTTGATCTCTGCACTTTCTGCAGCTCCTCCTCTCTTCTTTGCAAAAGCCATTGCTCACCCTGTGTAGATGTGCCTGGTGCTTGTCTTCCCCACATCACAATTTAGCCTCAATCGAAAATACTGAATTCACTGACTTCTCACAGGGGTAAATTTTGCATAGGAGAAAGAACAATGCATCCTATATATATTTATATTCATACTCAGCTGCAAAACTGAAGCCATCTTACCATTATCAGTCCTGTTTCCTGTCCCTACTTTTTTTTTTTGTTTGGCTTTTTTTTAATCTGGAGGAAGTCTTATACTTTGAGAAAGGAAACAAGCATCTTCTGGTAGCCTTTTAAAATCCTTTAGGAGGAGATCATTTGCTTTATAATGAGTTTAAACTGTTTTATTTAGAGCTAGAGGAAAGTGTTAAACAATGGGGGAACACCAAACTGCTAATGAAAACATCCTTGATAGAAAAAGAGCCAGGAAGGTTGGCAGAGGAAGAGGAGAATTCCCAAGTGTCTGCTAGTAAGAAAAAAAGCCATCAGTTAAACATATTTTTCCTTATTTCTATGGTAGCAACAGATTTTTAGATAAAGCTGTGTATCACTTACTTGCAAGTAAAAAGAAACAATGCAATGCTTTGTAACAAAGACAATTAAAAACTGCAGTTCTTATCAGAACATGGCTTGGATTATTGCTTTAAAAAGCAATCGGGCTTTAAAAAGCCATAATAATCTCTATTAAAGTCACAGTCCTAGAAACTTAATGACACTGAGTTTCCTTTCCTGGCACCTAAACTCTCTGTTGAAGAAGCAAATCTGTATGAGATAAGAAAAAAAAAAGGACAGAAAATATATAAATTTACTCAGACATTCTTCTGACACTGCTACTCTGGGAGTTCCTATTTTGTGACACATCCATCTGAGCTGATACTTTTCTACCTAGCTTAATTCCATGGCTTTTTAGTCATCCTTAAAATGAGTGAAAGGTCCAGTTCTCAGGTTCCCCAGCTCTGTGCAAGCTCCATCCTTTTTCTAGGAGGAAAGCTGATACTTCCATATGGTTGTAGTGTTTCCCCACTCCTCTCTGCTCTCAGCAGAGAACAAAAGAAACCTCTAGAGTTATTTTAAACCTTGTTTGAAAACATTACTCCTTCCATCCCACTGCAGGACTCCATATGCACTGGGAAAAAAAAATTTTTGGGGGGGGGGGAAATAGCATATCAGAGCAAATCACTTACAGTCCTGCAGGTGCTTCCTGGTGACTCCATACAAATACGAATTCTGCAGTGTAAGTAAACCACAGAGTTGTTGACAAAGGAAAAAATTTTCATCTTAAACTGAGCTTTGCTTGAATTCCCATTTTCCAGCAGCGTGGTGTAAGTATTTGGGATGGGACAGCTGAAAAGGGAGACAAAAAACAAACAGCAGCTAAGGCTAGAGAAGACAGGTTTTGGTTATAGAACAGAATTTGGGTTTTAAAGTTTTCCTTCCTTTAGGAAGTCACAGCCAGACCCTTCATGAAGCAGCTCTGGCAGTGCAGTGGTGATAAGGGGCTGTTTGCTGCTTTATTCCCACAGTAACCAAGTGGAACAGGAGCTGTGAGAAGTGGCTGAAGAGCTGGAGAAGGAGGGAAAGAGTAGCAGAAAGAAGGATTTAAACTTGGCTTCACCAAACACAAATTGGGAAAAACCTCAAACTTAAAGGACTAGATTTTGTTACTGAGCAAAATTATTAACCTGTATTTTAAGGTGAGCCTAAGAAATATGACATTGGGGTGAGAGCAGGAATCCAGACAGGAACAAACCTCCTCTTTCACCAGAGGCTGCTCTATTATCACATGTGAGGAATTAAATAACCTATTTCTTTGTTGACAAGAGGCACATAAGCTCTTGATAAAGCTGAAACCACAGAGAAACCTCTGAACCATAGAGTAGGAGATAAAGCACCCACTTCTCAAATGCTCTTTCACTACTGACTGCCAAAATCACCTTCAAGTGATTTCTTCAGGTTGAAAGCACAATTCCCTCACAAAACTGGAAGGAAGACAACCAAACCCAAAAAACTTTCACACAGCCCTTTGAAATCCCTTTTCATATCTACCTTTCTTATTCAAAGAAGGTGCAACCAGGCCAGATAGAAAGGGACCGTGCATGTGAATGATGAGAACACATGTAAAAGTCATTTAAAATATAACACATTATTAGTCAGTACCACTGTGAGACCTAAGGCATGGCTCATGGTATTTGCAAATGGCATTGCTGTACCTGTTGCTGATAAAAACAAATGCCAGGGGATCCATTGAATTATTGGTTGGAGTGGCCCAGCAGTCAGTGAGAACCACCTTGAGCTGGCTGTCTGCCCTCTGCATCCCCACTTCGATCAGCACATCCTCACTGGCAGAGACGCTGAAATTTTTGGGGACTGGGGAGTTTCCAATAAACAACTGCATTTCTGTTCTGAAGTATCCAGATCCATGCAAATCCTCAAAGATGGTGTAAAGTCTGAAAAATCAATTATCCTTCTTTAAAGACCACAAAGTTGACTGTAAGTTTTTGCAAGTCTTAAATCAGTGCCTGTTTCCCCACATATTTAAAATCTGCAGTCCAGGATGGCAGGACACTGTTCAAAAGGAAGGGTGAAAAAGCACTGAGTTTTCAGCTGGGAAGGTAGAGAGAATGGAAACAAAAGTGGGAAAATCCAAAGGGTGTCTCAGCAATTCAAACAGGGCAGAGAGAAATACCAGGGTGGAGCAGAAGGGGAACAGGGCTATGAGCTCTCTGAGAGCTCAAAATAAGGGCAGTAAAAGCTTAGTGCAGAAAAGAGCCAAGAAAATGAGACAGGGAAAATCTGAACAGAAAGTGAAAGGCATGAGAAAATTATAGAGCTCAAAGAAAAGTGGCCTGACAAAGACTTTGCTGGGGAATAAGAAGGAAGATACAATCTCTGGACAGGGCTAGGAAACAGGAACTGGATTTGGTGCCAATAGTTTAAGCAGGACGACAGGCAGGAGAGGAGGTGCACTTGTATGAAGGGAGGACACTCCCCATGACAGAAAGGCTTGTGCTGTCACATTTTCTGTCAGCACAGCCTTGATTTTCTGTGAAGTGTGGATTTGAGTCCATCTTACTTGAAGGTGGGGCTTCCACAACAAAAAAAGTATTTGCATGATGTATCTTCTGGTTTTTCAAGTTGACCAAATAAGGATTTGTGGGGGGTTAAAAACTGTCATTCTCAGAAGCCACATAGCAATCTACAGGCCCACATCAGGTGGAAAGATAAACAATTGATATGCTCCAAAAGCAGAAAAGTGCTGTTACTGCTACAAGGGATTGCCCAGGAAGGCAATGAGGAGAACAGGAATTCTGACTCCTGAACCTGCAGCTCCCAAAAGTTTATTTCCACCTGTGGTTTAGCCAGGTAAATGATCCAAGCTTGTTGGATCTACTGGCAAGAAGTTGGAGTAGGAAAGAAGCACACAGCAGGGATCTCCTTGGTGCCTTGGACTAGCTACCTAGAGCAGAGGCTAGACAGAGTTACAGAATACAGTGGATATTTATTAAAGGCCTTTAACAGATACACCTTGGGCTGTGCAGGAGCCTGGCAGAGGCTACAGCCAAGAGGAATGAGGGTCATGAGTTTTTTGGGCAGATACAAGTGTGGTCTATTTGCATATGAGAGGTTAATTGTCCAGGTAATGAAATCACATTTCCCTGGTTTGCTTCCCCCCAATTCACTTTTGTTTATACTTTTCAGGCCTGAGGATGTGATGATGACCTTGGTTCTCAGGCCTGGAAGGATTGTTTTGTCTGACCACACTGTGAAGAGAACTTACAAACACTCTATATGGAGTTCAGAGTTACACACTAATGCAGTACAGGATCTGAAAAATATAAAAGCCAAAACTTAAGGCATCATTCTGAGCACAGGACTCCCAGGATGGCAGACTGCTCCCAGTGCTGCCTCTGGATACAGCTACAGCCCCTGGGGGCTTTCCCAGTGCAGCAGCACTCAGCCACACAGCAGAATTTCAAAGCAGAGAGAGTTGTTCCTCACCCTTCTGCAGTGTACCCAGAGGAAGTCAAGACATGGTTTTGAAACACACAGTGGATGGGACTGGCAACGTTCAAGTGGTGGATTATTCCCTGAGCAGAAGCATCATTCCGAAGGGTGGTTCTCACCACAGTAGTAGTCATGTTCTGCAGCACAGAAAGGAAAAAACACGTCAGTGTTTCCAGGCTTGTACCAGAGCTTTCCAGTTTCAGGTGCTTGGGTGTTCCTCATTCTCCTGACAGCAAAAATCAAACAGATTAAGGCTCCAGTATCTTTATTGCTGTACAGGGAGGCAAAGAAAATACACCAGTCTTCCTCCTTTTCCTTTTTGTCGTATCATAGAATCATAGAACTCCACCAACAGCTTTGGTTGGAAGGGATTTTAAAAATCATTAAGTTCCAAATCCTCTGCCATGGGCAAGAACACTTTCCACTAAACCAGATTGCCCAGAGCCTCATCTAACCAGGTCTTGAACAATTCCAAGGATGGGACAATGATCATTCCTTAGCAATGGTCATTGCTCCAGAAGGGAGTTTCTGTACTTTGGCATGGTCTAAACATTGGTTTGGGATCCAAAGAGAGCTGTCACTCTTTGTCCCCACCACTGGTAGCTATTGAAGTATTTGTCAGCATGGGATGATTAAATTACTTTTAAGAAAAGAGAGCTGCAAAGAGAACCCAGAAGAGGCATGGGAGATGACTCTCAGTTTGGACAGGCTCATGAGTTTTGCTGCCTGACCTCAAAGATTCATTCCCCTTCTCTTTGGTGCTTCCCATCACACACTGAGGCAACTTTCCATCCCAGGACAGGGATTTCTTTCTCCAACAGAAGTTCAGCAGCTAATAGACTGTACACCTAGCTAAGGATCTGCCACTGCCTCTCCACTCCTAAGAGAGAAATAAAGCCTTTCTCTTTGGTGCTTCCCATCACACACTGAGGCAACTTTCCATCAGAGGACAGGGATTTCTTTCTCCAACAGAAGTTCAGCAGCTAATAGACTGTACACCTAGCTAAAGATCTGCCACTGCCTCTCCACTCCTAAGAGAGAAATAAAGTGCTCCAGAGCTTGCTGGCATTCCCTTGATCAGAGGACTTACAGTCTCAACTTGGGTGCCACAGTCGCTCCAGCCCGCCTGCAGCACAACGTGGGTGCCATTGCTGGTGCTCACATTGCAGCCAGGCTCCCCCAGGAACAGGGAACTCTCTGGGATAGACTCCTGCTGCAAGAATCTCTTCTGGATGGCAAGGACGATCCTCTCAATCTCACACAACACACTCACAGCGTCTTTAAGGGAAACCTCTTGGGCAGGTTTGACCAGGGGGGTTGGAGATGCTCGAGCAGAAATATCTGGAGTTGCCATGGGATCTGTGGGGAGAGGACTCAGCACTGTGCTGGAGAACATGGTGTCCTCCAGAGCTTTGTGCTCAGCAGGAGAGAAGTCCAGTGAAGCAGGGGAGGAGACATAAGCTGAAGTTTGCAGAGCTGTCACAGGTAAAATTGTGCTGTTCACAGATTTCTTATCTGTCACTGTTGCCTTCTGGCTGGAGGGAAGTGCTGAAGAGTGCAAAAAATAAAGGTACTGTTGTAATTTACGTGTTGAGATTGGTCTCATTAGGCAAAAGCAAACTCTTAGGAGGAAACTCACAGTTACTGGCAGGAAACCAGCTTCTTTTGTTCTTATAACCTGTTCTACTTACTGCCTAAGCTGGGGCTTTTTTTAGAAAGGAGCCCATGAGACACATAAGTGCCCATCAGTAAAGCTGAAGTGCTTTATTTCCTGGCAGCTGCAGTAATCAGTGTGTGACACATGTACATGCAGCTTTTGGAAGATCAGTGCTTGTACAATATTCCCCACTGGAAGCTGCTCAGCAAGTGCTTGTATGTTTTTGCCTGGAGCTGTAGGAGACTGCCCAGTTCTGGCTGGGGGCATCACCAGGATTTGATAAAAACACTGGGAGTTTGGTAAAAAAGCACAGGCTTCATTTGTGACCAGATACTGCCCAAAAGATGGGACCTTGAGCGCTTTGGAAAACTCATTTTGGGGGATGCATGGGACAAACCTCATGTGGCAGCCCCATATTGCAGGTGTGTCCTGAGAGAGAGGAATAAATGTGTCAGAGGCAATCTGTAATGGTTCCAGGAAGAAAAAAGTGAGGGAAAAGGGAAGCACAGGTTCAGATCAATGTGTCTCAAACACCCAACATCCAGCACAGGTCTGGGGTTACATCCTGAGTATTCACTCACCTCTGACTGAGAGAGAATCAAGACAATGAACTCCATTTGTAGGGAAGCACAAACAATGTGTCTCACTGCACAAAACTTCTCTTAAATAATTTTAGTGGCTAAAACATAAAAATACCACCTATTTCCCAAGCAATATATAAAATCTGTACAAATATATCAATCCTTATGGAACTGCCCAGCTTCCAGAAATGCCCCAAATGAAAAAACGACTGATTTGCACAATAAAGGAAAAATAAAAGTTGGAGCTCTTCCAGAGCTGGATTTCCCAAAAGCTTATAATCACATAAAACTAAACAAATGTTGGTATCAGTTGACAAATCATTGTGCCTTCTGTAAAAAATCACATAAATATCTTAGTTAAAACTAAACAAATGTTGGTATCAATTGACAAATCATTGTGCCTTCTGTAAAAAATGTTCCTTATCATTGTGGTTACAAAACCAAATATAAATTACTGAAGAAGGTTAAGAGAATTTAGGAAATTAAAGACCCATCATACATCAGCTAACAAACGACCTGAAGAAAGAGGGAAGCCAGATGAATCAGCTCATAGAAAAATACAGTTTGTAATATCAGCATTTCCTCAGCATTTCCAGCATTTGCCATACAGAGGCAAAGTATTGCCATACCTATCAAGTATTTTCTGTTACTTTCTCTATTACCTCTTCTGTTCCCTCTGCTACTGCTAATGAAAATCACTAAGAATCTTGACAATCTTGTCTAATTTTTGTGGCAAATATGAGAAAGAGAACTCTTAAAAGAACCTTATGGCATTAAATATTAATATAGTACATTCCCACTCCCAAAGTGATCCACTGCCCAAGGGGATGCTTCTAACCCCAGGTGCCTCCTCAGTTTTTCCCCCATTTCACAATTCTGAGGAGATGCTGAGTAAATGCCCAGCATGAGTGAAGCAGAAGGCTTGTGTCACCGGTCCAGGATGCAGTCTAGTTGCTGTCTTAATTTTTACCTGGCCAAAATTTTCATTTTTTAGAGGAAAAAAAACCATGCTTTTACTTCTCTTTCTCTTTCCAAAGTCTAAAAACCAGAGCAAACCAGACCACAGGTGGTACTCAGAAAGCAGCACCAGCCACCTGCTCTGTGGGAACCTGTCCCTGAAACAAACCCTTTGTTTTAGTCCAGGTTTGAGGGGGGCAGGCACTCTACAAAGCACTACCACAAGATAATTCTGATCCTAGTAATTACCAGGATATGTAGCTTTCCAAATTTACAGCTGTAAGTGTAACAGACAAAAAAATTACACAGCAGAGAATAAATATGTTTCTGGAGTATTTTTGCATGAGATTCAAATTGACAGGTTATAGCAACCTTCTTTGGACAAATGGATTGTGTCAGGGACACAGTATTTGGGGTTGTTTGTTTGTTTGTTTGTTTGTTTTCCAGAGGTGACTTGTGACTTCAGCTGCTCTTAGTCAGGAGATTAATGGTTTTTGTTACTTACTCCAATTACATATATAAGAAAAGAAGTTGTACAATCAGCCATCATGCTGGCCTTGGCAAAGTGTGGGCTTCCACCTGAGCTCCAGATCCACAGGTGTGTGAGGAAAACAACTACTCCCACTGAAGAAAAACTCACATATTCATTTATTTCTATTGATTTCTATTTATTTCTATTTCAGGGAAAAATTATTAGTGCAAAGTAGAGTGTAATGTGTTTTTAAATTCTTTTAAACAGTGCTAGTTATGGCTGTGTTCAGGGACTCATTTCCACTGGTAGCTTATAAATCCCTCAATCCATAACCTCTAACATCTCCTTACCTTTTTCTCTGTAAAACTGGTTCTAGACATTGCCAAAAAGACCAGTTGGTCTTGTCCTTTTGGATCAGTGGTTCCTCACTTCCTATGTCATCTGTGGGTGTTCTCTGAAAAACTTACTGGATGGATAAGCAGGAGCAATATAAGGAGAGAGAAAGGCTTTTCATCCGTGTGTTTTACAGGTATTTTCACCTCAGAAGACACAGATTAATAATTGCTTTCATCATCTGTCTGGTTCTGAAGAATTACTGGGGCACAAGCTGCTCCTCACCGTGTATGGAGAGGCTGCTCCTGTCCACGGTGAAGGAGGAGCTGTTTTCCAAGGCCTCACAAAAAGTGGTGATGACATGGTGGACATCCACTTCTTCTGCAAGCAGCAAATTGAAACTTACCACTGTGCTCCCATTAGTAACACCCGTTACCAGCACTTTGATCAGACCAGCATCCATCTGCTGGAGCACCTCAAGGGGCAGAGATTTCTGCACCTGGAATAAAAACAAAATGTGTGTGGGGATGGGCAGATGGAGCAATTACATTTCAGGCTGTGTACACTGCTCAGAAATCAGTGTTGTGCTTCCTGCTCTGGAGGAAAGCAGCAGAAAATTGACCTTTTGCTTTGTAACATTTTCAATCCAGAGCAGCTGAAGGATGTGGTGCACATTTAACCATGAATATTAAACGAGCCAAGCGATTAAGATATCTCATCTGTCATTTGGCACAAGCCCTTGCCTCTGGTAACGGAGAGGGAGGGAGGAGACTGCAGGGAAGCTCCCACGTTCTGCCTCTCAAAATGCCTCTGGGGAGAGGGGCAACCCAAGGAATTCCAATCCAACACAAGGAATTCCAGTCCAAGACAAGGAATTGTTGCTGGAAGTGGAGAACCTCCTGACACTCCACACTGCTCAGAGGCTTTCTCAGCCCAGGAATATTACACCTTTGAGCAGGTGACCTTCAGGCTTTGCTTTGCAGCTGATTTCTCACCAGAGCCAAGCAAAACCCACCTCTTTCTAAATGCCCAGAGCAGGGGATTAAGGGGCCAGGTGACTGTGGCCACCTCCAACTGCTTTTTCCTCTCCCTGATTTCTGCAGGGAATATCTGGAGCAGCAGGGCTGGATTTCAGCCATGAGTTTAGGCACAGTTTATTTCAGTGTGTAATGCTTAGGGATGCCAGCAGTGATTCCCACCAGGGAGAGCCCAGGGAAGAGGCAAGCGCTGGGAGCCACCAGGAGAAGCCTTGTTTGCCTTGCACCCACGCTCAGAGCTGGTGCTTTTAGTGCTGGATTCTCACAGCTTTTGCACAGCCTTGTGCCCTGCCTGCTGTGCACTACCCAGCCCTGACTTCCCCGCTGTCTGTTTGCCAGCCCTGCAGATGGTCCCAGGATTTGCAGGTGTCCTGCAGCCCTTTCCTGAGTCCCCAGAGCTGGTGTGGTTTTTGTGCTGGGTGCCAAGGCACCGTGGCACAGAGCAAACCCCCTGTGTGCCCCTGGGAACGGCTGCCTTGTGCCTGCAAGTGCCACACAGCAAACCTGGGAGTGCCCCATGGAGCACCCAGGCAGAGCTGGGAGGATGGAGGCAGATGGCTCCCCTGTCAACACCTGGGCAGAATATAAACTGTCCTTGTCAGAGCCCAAAATCCTCCCATTTCACCAAGACAGGGTCTCCTGGGCTCCTTCTGCTCTCTCTTCCTGCTGTTTCACAAGCAGGTACTGAAAAGTTGGAGGTCAGACCTAAGTTTTCAGCTCTCATAATTTCTGTCCGAACTTCTCAACATTAAACACAAGACACCTGTCATATCCTCTTAGCCTACCCTGGTTTCATCCTCTTTCCTTATCTGAAAATTTGATTCTTCTTTTTTCACAGAAACACAGAATCACTGAGGTTGGAAAAGACCTCTGAGATCATAAAGTCCAACTTTTGACAGATCCCCACCCTGTCCCCAGCCCAGAGCACGGAGTGCCACCTCCAGACCTTCCTTGGACACCTCCAGGGATGGGGACTCCAAACTTCCCTGGGCAGTTCCAAGGCCTGACCCCCCTTTCTGTGGGGAAATTCCTCCTGATGTCCAACCTGAACCTCCCCTGGAGCAGCTTGAGGCCAATTCCTCCTGTCCTGTCACTTGTTCCTTGTGACCAGAGCCTGACCCCCACCTGGCTACAGTTTTGTTTGTTTGTTTGTTTTGTTCTTGTTCCTATTTTTCCTCCCAAATCAGGACCCAGAGCTTGAATAGTGTCAGGGCACATTCACAGTATTTGTATTTAGCCACTAGGTGACACTACAAAACCCTTTATCCAAGAGACTCCAGGATTTCCCAACAGGTACCACACCCTGGGTTATCAAAACAACGCTTGATGAAGCAGGGCTAGAAAAAAAAAAAAAAATTTAAAAAAAAAAGGGGGAGGGACGGAACATTTTGGAAAAAAATTATTCAATATATAATACCCTTGAATATGGGGAGTTCTTACAAGAGAAATTACCTCCTGGTCTGTCATATCTGCAATTTCTATATCACACAAAGAAAACCTAAACAGGAAATGCACTACTGACAGTCTGGAAACTGGGAATAAATAAGTAAAAGGTACAGTAATTTGAATAGAATATTGTTTGAAGACTGTTTTTTCACTCAGAGAAAAAAAAAACCAAAAACTCCCCACTGTGTGTGGTTTGGCTGCATCTTCAGGGAGAAGGTACCAGAGCACACATCTGCACAGCCACCATCACCAGCAGCTTCCAGGATGTGGAGTTGGATAAACTCAAATTAACAAAAGGGTGAAATTACACTGGAATAGCGAAAATTCCTTAATCCCTGTTCCTACACTCATTCCACATTCATATAGCTTCAACTGCATTCATTTCAGGTGCTTCCAGCTACACAAACACAGGCCATGTGCCTTCCAAATGAGGGGGTCGCTCATAAGGCATTATAATTTCTTAGTTTCACACTTTTTGTCATTCAGCTAAATTTAAGACACCCAAATCCAAAACAAGCTTTCCATTTGGGAATTTATTGCACTTCATTGAATGTATTTTCAACTCAAACCTTTTGCTTTCCCAACTGATTTTGTTGAGGATGTCATAAAACATAAACTGGGGTGTTGTAAAACACAAGCTGAACAAACCCCAGGACTTAAATCCTTTTTTGCCTTTAGCTATGTTGTTTTTAAGTTGCATTACTAGAAAGGTGGTGGAACTGGCCTGAACAATGATAGTGCAGGTTGTCACATCAAGTTTTTACCTCCTTCTCATAATTTAAAGGATGATATTTCCATTTGCTGTGCTGCCAATTTAACCACATGGCACTTAAGTGCTGGGGCTTAAGAACATTATACATATTAGGATTTATAAATCCTCTGAATTGTAGATTATGACTCCAAAGAGGTTTAAAAAAATGTTTGGCAAACTGTATTTAACTGGAACCTGAGAGTGCTTTTAAAGCTTATAAAACTTTCCTCATTTATTTTAAAAGATCCATTTCTGGTCCTCATAACCTGAAAAGAAAATATACAGATCTTTCTGGTCTCCTAAATTTTCTTTGGCATCTAGAAATACAATATTTATAATATTATTTACAGCAGCTATGCAATTATAGCCCATTTACAGTGGCTCAGAGGTGGAAGGAATCAACACTAACACATCTCTCCAGCTGATCCACAAAACCAGAGTGCTGGGAAAAGGAGCTAGTTCCTTATAATCACAAATGATCATTTTCTGCCTGAAAATTTGAGACCCAAGTAAAACCAAGAGAAAACTTCATTTTGATTCCTTTGAGTAACCATTTTATAATTTTTCCTAAATACATGAGTACCCATGATTTTCTGGACTGAGATATCTGACTGAATGAAGGAAATACATTAATTTCAGTCCATTTCAATACTGTGCTGCTCTGAAATAGCCTCGGGCAGAGCGTGGTGCTGAATGAGAGAGAGGTCAGTGGAGAATTGCTCCCTTTTCACTTTGCTAATCACATCACTCTCGTTTTGTCACAGTTTTTCTGATGTGACAGCTTGGGGCCAAAACAGCTCCAGGAAAGCCAGTGCTCTGCTAACACACCCAGAAAGGTGCAAAACCTTTCCGAAAGGGAAACTGATTTGGTGTGCAAGAAGGATAAATGGATCACCTTCTTCCCTCCCTGCAGTAGTCTGTGACCCCAGGCTGGCCTGGCCTGTGCCCCTGTGCCAGCTGTGTTCCAGTGGTGATTCTGTCCCCAGGAAGTCTTGGGAGGCCTCTGCAGGATTTGAAAATCCATCAAAGTGCCAGTGATGGATTTATCACCACACTTATCAAAGCCTTTGAAAACACAGACAGTGTAGGGGAGGTAAAGGAGCCAATAAAGCAGCCCAGCATAACCAGTGGATTTCCAGGCATGGGTGTGTTGGAGGGAGCACCAGAAGGAACAAACTTCTGGCAAATTCCCTGCAATATTAGATCCTGTCAAAGGCAACACCCCGGAATGCTGAGAGGGTTAAAGGCACAGCAGATATCATGTTGTGCTTTGATATCCTGCACTCTGATTAGAAGTGAGGGCAGAGGTGACTTTTCATGAAACCACTCCCTTTCCAGATATGGAGCTACAAAATCCAAGATGATTACAAGAACTGTCAGCCTTGAGGTACTGCTACAAAGGATAATAACAATCATACAGCTAATTAGGATAGTGCTGTTCAGGGCAAGGGTATCAAAGCACTTTGCTGGTTCCATTAACTTTCCACCACACCCCTGGAGGAGATCAATAATTCACTATAACTAGGCAGAAGCAGGAGAGGACATGGAGGTACCAGAGAATCCCAAAATCCTGATCTTCCTCTAAAACACAGCTGCTGCAGCCTCAGCCAGTCAGGGGAAGCCAAACCTTACAGGTGTGTCAAGGGACACACATGAGTTATACAGGCTTTGGGGGAAAAAGACATACACAGGGTTTTATTGAGACAGGAAACAGGTCACATCCTTCTTCACCACTTACTTCATCAACAAAGAGCCGTGCAAAGGTTTGATTTTCCTCACTGCTGTTATTGCTAAAGCCTGGAGAGTATTCCATGTTTCTTATCCAAACTGTGCCACTAAGTTTCTGGAAAGCTGCAAGGTAAGAAAAAAGACAATTTCTGTAATATGTGCTTTATGGGCTGCAACCCGTGGACAGTGTGCCACAGTGCCCAGCATCCCTGGCCACATGCATCCATTCATAGCAGCAGAAGGCCAGCCCTCTGAAAAGTAGCCCAAACCCCAAAAGTCTAAAAATAAATCATCCAGCATCTTAGTCTGCCCTGCCTGAGCCCCAGATGGCTCTCAAGAAAGGCACTGACCTCCTGTAGGTCTCATGTCTACCAGCTCTGCCTTGGATCCTCAGGGATGTCTGGGATGTTGCTCTGTTCAGGGACTGGAATTGCTCTCCAGGCTCAGCTGGATGTCCCACCAGTCCCTCCAGAGGGACCAAACTGTAGCACCAAATCCTCCCTTCAGCCTCAGAGGAAGGCTGTGCTGCTGCCTGAGCTTACACATCTACACTTTGGACAGCTGTGGTGGGATGAGATGAATCCCAACAGGGTGTACACTTCTCTCCTAGTTCATTGCTGAATGATATCAGTGCAGATTCAAACATTTTGAGTTTATTTCCTGATTTCTCTGTGTTTCCCAGTGGTTCTGGGCCTGGCATTGTTACTACAGACACTGAAGTGATCAGAGATCAGAGAAGGGGCTTCTCAAGGCATGGTTTGTGCCCCTGGCATGCATTTAAAAAAACCCCAAACATCTTTTTTTAGGAGGAGAGGAGAAAGCAGTTGAGGCACTGGCACAGCTGCCCAAGGCAGGGCAGGATGGCAGGAGGGGATACCTGGTGAGCAGGGCTGGGGGGATAAGAGAGGCTGGAGAAGCAGCAGAATTGGCTTTACATGGCTGAAAAAGATATTTTCCAGAGAGAAAGGAATGAGGGAGCACCAGAAGTGGGGCTGGATCAGTGGAGACCACCAGGAACATGAGATCACAGGGGAGGGGGAGATAAAATACCAGAGGAATGTGTGACTTGGGATCAGAGAGATGTGGAGGGCATGAGAGACAGAATAAAGACAAGCAGAAGCAAAACTGAAATAGCCAAACTGAATAGTGACACACTACAGAAAAAAATATACATTTAGTGATGGGCAGACAGCAGCATTCCTATCCCAAACAGAACTGCAATTTTAAAACTAAATCTGACTTTCTGAAATATGATTCAGCTTCAATCAACAGAAAAATCCCGTAATTAACTGCAACACATCTGCCCAAAAGCCAAACAGATTAAACCTTCAGCAGCCTTGTTGCTCTCAATTGCATCTCTTGAAGCAGTGTCTCTCGGGTTTCCAGGCAGCTCCTGCCTCACAGGGGATTTGTGGAGGACTCTGACTAATCATCCTCTGCTGAGAGCAATGGGAAGGCAGGTTCTTTTCCTCCCTGGCTCCCTAAATTAACTCCACAGACAGCTGCTGCTGCCGTGTCCTGGTGCCAGAGGCTGCAGGAAAAACCAGGATGTGTGGCAAAAGGACAAGCAGCAAATGTTGCCATGAGCCACGTTCAGTGCACTCTTTTATGTGCTTCCTCCTTTTGGAGTGAAGAAATGTAACATCAATAAAAGCAACTGCTAAATTGCCAGGAAGAGGAATCGCTTTCAGAAGCTGATTTAGCAAAGAGAAAGTGCCAATTCCTGCAGAAAATATTATTGACAAAGAAAAAATTGCAGGCACCAAGAAAATAATTTTGACATTGAAAAAATAGTTTTAGATGCCTTTTTCTGAATTCTGAGAAAGGCTTTGCTTCTCCCCCACACATGCAGACCCCCAAGGGATGTCTACTCACTGTGGTCCAGGTTGGGGGTTGGAGAGGTGCCTGTCCAAGCTGGTGTCCCCAAGGCTCCAGAGTGTCCCTCAGACCAAGAGCTGTTCTCCCTTCCCACCTCTCCATCTGCTCTGGGGGTGGCAATGCCAGCGTTCCCTGTGGCCAGCAGAGCTATGTCAGGGCCACCTGGAGAGCTGCCTTGGGGCACAGCAGCAGATGTCAGAGTGCTGGTGGCAGCTGAGGCTGTTTGATTTGGAAACAGCCAAAGTGAGCCGAGTTGCTCGTGCCTGGCTGTGCCCACGGGCGTGTTTGGGAGAGCAGCCCTGGCCACCGAGCTTTGCTGCCATGGGCTCGTGGCCTCTGTGCCCACGGCCAGTGCCCTGCTGGGGGTGACCGCCACAGCCATGGGGCTGCTGAAAGCCATCTGTGGGGCCAGACCTTTTTGCCAAGGAGTTAGAGGAGCACTGGTGGGACTGTGGGATGCTCGTTTGTCACCCAAGACCAGCGCAGCAGGGAGGAGTGTGGCGGCACTTGACGTGCGGCCTGCGGCAGCCGCTGTCCCCATGGCCAGTGTCCTGCTGGGGGTGACCCCCATGGCCAGGGGACTGCTGTCCCTGCTGAAAGCCATCTGTGGGGCCAGACCTTTTTGCCAAGGACTTGGAGGAGCACTGTGGGACGCTCGTTTGTCACCCAGGGCCAGCGCAGCAGGGAGGAGTGTGGCGGCGCTTGATGTGGACCAGCACAGCAAGGAGGAGTGTGGTGGCACTTGACGTGCGGCCTGCGGCAGCTGCTGTCCCCATGGCCAGTGCCCTGCTGGGGGTGACCCCCACGGCCAGGGGACTGCTGTCCCTGCTGAAAGCCATCTGTGGGGCCAGACCTTTTTGCCAAGGGGTTGGAGGAGCACTGGTGGGACTGTGGGATGCTCGTTTATCACCCAGGGCCAGCGCAGCAGGGAGGAGTGTGGCGGCGCTTGACGTGCGGCCTGCGGCAGCCGCTGTCCCCATGGTGGCAGCGGGAGCAGGGCCTGCAGGGCTTCTGCCTTCTTCAGGAGCCAAGTCCGTGCTGGTTCTTATTTCAGGAACCACGGTTTCAGTAAGAGGATCCACAGTCTCACCTGTGACACAGAAAACACACCCTGAAATGGGCCTCAAACTGGACAAGGAGGCACCAGGGCCTGGCCTGAAAATGGCACCGAGGGCGCTCAACCACCCATGGCAGCATTACAAAAACAGGTCTTGGATGGTCATGAACACAGTGTAGAACATGTGGCTTCTCCGTGCTGGTTCTGATTTCATGAGCCATGGTTTCAGTAAGAGGATCCACAATCTCACCTGCGACACAGAAAACACACCCTGAAATGGGCCTCAAACTGGACAAGGAGGCACCAGGGCCTGGCCTGAAAATGGCACCGAGGGCGCTCAACCACCCATGGCAGCATTACAAAAACAGGTCTTGGATGGTCATGAACACAGTGTAGAACATGTGGCTTTTGTGGGGTTGAATCTGGTTTAGGCTGACACAAAGAAGCAGATTTGATTCCTGGGTCTCCTGTTCTGGTTGGCAAGGCTGTGGATCAACTTGGTGGGAGGAAATTAACCACAGACATAGCAAAAGAGGGAAAAGTACTCCTTGCAGTTATTTGGCTTATCAAGGAGGATGTCAGAGAGATTTCACCTGAATTTATTTATTTATTTATTTATATACTATAACTACAACTATAATGATAACTATAACGAAAAATAAAAATATATAATTAGTTAGTTAGAGACAGGTCATATATACCCCTTCAGCCACAGACTGCAAAGATGCAATTGTATGAAGAGCTATAAAAGCAGAGGTTTTACATCTGCTGTTATAAAAGCAGATGTAAAACCCCACAACTTATTCCAATGTTTCACGGCAAAAAAAAAACCCTACATGCCAGCCTTTTTCTCACCCTCACAGTTTCTTCCAGGTCGGGATGGATTGGTATCCATGGTTGTCTTGCACCTGCACGTGTAGGAGCCCATCAAATTGATGCACTCTGCAAACACAGAGCAGTCATTCTCTAGAGAAGCACATTCATCCCAGTCTGTGGGACCAAAACAAGAACAAGGGTCAGAGAGCCTCCCTGCTGGCTGCATTAAGCTAGAAATAATCATTAAGTAGCCCTTTTTTAATTTACTTTTATGGTTTTCCTTTTTCATCATTAACCTGTCAGCCAAGCTTTGAGTGATGCAGAACACTAACTGTTTTGTTATTCTCTTGTTCTTGTACTCTGAAAAGTATTTTCTCTGAGTAAAGACTTTTAAAATCATTGTTTTTAGAGGTAAACACATTTAAAGTGAAAAAAAAATGCTGTAGCTTTGTACTACAATTATATCAAAATCACTCACTATACTGAGTTCTGTGTACAGCACCTCCAGATATATCAGGTAATGAATAGATCTGTTACCACTAGTTACCAATAGATACAACATTAAATAGAGACTTAATCCAAATAATCTTCTGCTTCAAATAAAAAGTAGATGTTAGTAACTCCCAGGGGAAGCACTGTTCTCTTCTTAACAGAGGAAGTGCCAAGGGCAAAATCTCTTTTTATACAATTTTTCTTCTCAAAAGTAATGCTGTAAAACTGTGACCCTCTTTCTGGTAGTGTCAGAAAAGACATCCTGATTCATCAATGCATGAAAATGTTCTAAGGGTGGTCCTGTGTCTGATTTCAGCTGCTCTGTATCAGTTAGAGGGACCTTTTCATGCAGTTATGGACCTATTTTATCGCTGAGTCTCTTCTCTTTTAAGGGATTTATATCTGGAGTCTTGTGTTGCCATTCACATGCTGTTCCAGCAAATCTGCAAGGGCTGAGTTAGTCCTTTGGACAGGAATAATTCCAGTGAATCCCAGGTGAGCCCTCCCTGTGTGGCTGCCTTGTGCACTCACCTTCTGCCTTGGGGCCTTGAAAGAGGGAGAGCAGCAAATGAGGCTAAAAACTGTGTCTTGGGACAAATCATTCTGATCAGATGCTAGAAAATTGTTCTGAATAACAAATTAACAGAAGTGCTTGTTCTGCAAACTTGCAGATTAATGATGGTGATTATAATGATGGTGAAACAATGTCCCATTCCGTGTGCATGCCCATACACACACTCATCTTTCTGCTTGTTTTTCCTTCCTTCTAGCTAATATTTCAATTCTTTTTACTTTTTTTGTCAGTGGGTAATTGCTGTGTCCATGAAACTCTCCATTAGACAATGTCATGTGCCTATGGCCAGCAGTTGCCTAAATCCCAGGTGAGCCCTCCCTTGTGCTGCCTTGTGCACTCACCTTCTGCCTCGGGGCCTTGAAAGAGGGAGAGCAGCAAATGAGGCTAAAAACTGTGTCTTGGGACAAATCATTCTGATCAGATGCTAGAAAATTGTTCTGAATAACAAATTAACAGAAGTGCTTGTTCTGCAAACTTGCAGATTATTGATGGTGATTATAATGATGGTGAAACAATGTCCCATTCCGTGTGCATGCCCATACACACACTCATCTTTCTGCTTGTTTTTCCTTCCTTCTAGCTAATATTTCAATTCTTTTTACTTTTTTTGTCAGTGGGTAATTGCTGTGTCCATGAAACTCTCCATTAGACAATGTCATGTGCCTATGGCCAGCAGTTGCCTATTATGTTCCAGCCTAAGCCACTTAGAGGGAATGCAGAAGGGTGCAGGATTGACTGAACACCAGAGATGAAATCTCATTAATTCCTAACTCTGCCATGAAATAATTGTGACCCTTCGTGCCTTCCAGCACCATCTGAGAGATGCTAATTGCCAAATCACTTACATTCACTGCCTCCATTGTCTCTGAGGGTTTCCTTTCTCCTCACTTAGCACAGCTTTTTAAGCAAATTCCTTCACCCCTGATGGCCACATTCAATCATGCATCGGGTCAAAACGCTGGCACTGACTGGTGCATCACTTGTGTACTTTTTCCTTCTCCAAACCTTCACATCTCAGGCAAGCTCTGCTCTGAACTGTCTTTCTGCACTCCTGGCACCTCTCTGGCCCTTCATATTTGGCACTTCCCTACACACACCTCAACCAACAGTCCTAGTCAAAAAATTATTAAAAAGCCACCTTTGTGTTCACTCTGATTACGTATTATACACCTGTAAGGGGTACATGCAAAGGGTAAAAATCTGTGAGATTCCTTGCCAAATGATGTTGCAGATGCTAAAGATTTAAAGATCTGATTTGATGGGGGAGATTCATGGGGGATAAACAAAGCCAAAGAAATCGCTCTGGATCCAGGGAGTCCTGGAGCTGAAAACAGTTGTTGGCTAAGGGATAATTTGTAGGAGGTGATGCTTTCTCCAGAAATTGGCTTCTGGCTGGGACATTGTGCTAGAAAGATCTTGGGCCTGACTCAGCACACATCCCTTTCTCTTCTCTCACCATGCCCCACAAAACAGATTTTATTGTCTTTATTCATCATGGCAATAAACTTAATAATTTATGGATCTTCTCAGAGACCTGGTCCACTCCCTTCAGTTGTGCTGTCCCATCTGACTGCTCATCCCTGCTTTTCACAGTTGAATGGAGTGTCATTAAACCAAGCACAAAGGCAGGTGGTGGCCAGGCTGCAGGGAGGATCCAGGGGACAGGGTTTGGGTGGGCTTATTGCCAAAGGTCATGTCCTGAGGCTCTCTGAGGTCAGGAAGCAAAACACCCCATTATACAAATCCTTCCTCCCTGTGTTTCACTCCTTATTTTCCACTTAGGAAACTCATGTGGAAATAACTCTTATTTGGGTAGAGCTAATAAACAAACCCCTTTTCTCAGCCCCTAGGGAGGAGTGGAGGTGTTGGCTGTGCCCCTGGATAAGTGTGGTGCTACTGGAAGCCACCTGGTCTTCTGCAGCTAAAGTGACAGTCCAGAGCCATCACCTTCTTCTTCCTCATCCTTTTGGTCCCAGGATCAATAACATTTACAAAGTATTTTGGCACACATCAGCATCTTGCAATTCAGCTGCCACTGTGATATTTGTAGGCTTCAAGTGCAATTTGTCTCCTGGTTTTTTTCCTGTCCTGTTCTCCTTAACCTGCATATGCTCTGCAACTCCAAAGGGAGTTTTTCCTGCTCAGAAAGGCTCAACACACCAAGAGAGAAGAATAACCTCTTCTGTTGGCTTTGGCAACTTTCTGAACTCTGCTGTCTTTGCCAGCTGGGAAACCTGAGGACAGAACTCAGTCCTTTGAAGATAAAAGTGGTGATTACTGAAGATCAAACAAAGACCTGGTTTAACATAAATTCCATGTGTGTTTCTTCAGTCCTATTCACAGTAAGGACATTTGGGAATTCCTCTGGCTGGGTTTCTAGAGGGAAGATGTTGGATTTCTTAAATCTTGGCCCAAATACAGTCCTCCAGTCTTGGAGCACAAAACTGTCTAGAGGGCGTGTGGATCTAAAGGCTGCAGATATTCCACAGTAATCCTGTCTGCCTTTCAGCTTGAGAAAGATATGGCAAAATTCCAGCTGGGGACAGAGAGAAGAGGGAGGAAAATGAATAAGGAAACCAAGGGCTCCACTTGGGTTAACCATAGTGAGGAGAAGCAGTGCCTGCGGGTACCTGGGGACAGCCAGTGCTCCTTTGTCTGACCCTTTGGGCTTATGGATAAAACATCTGGAAGAATTCTCACATCATGGTTTTCTCTTCAACAAACCACATCCTTTGTTTCTCTATTTTGTGAAGAATATTGGTGATACTGCATGTGATCAAAACACAAACACTACTTTCTTCTTCCAGAAAAAAAAAAAAAAACAAAAACAAAAAAAAAAAAAAAAAAAAAAAAAAAAAAAAAAAAAAAAAAAAAAAAAAAAAAAAAAAACCAAAAATTACCTTCTACTACAGTGTTTTGCTGATCCACCACAAGCACAGAGCTATTGTGCTGGTAGGAAAGCACTGGAGCAAATGTGGAGGCATCCACTGGAAACTCAGGATCCTGCACGGTGATTCTGATCTTCACAACAATGCTTCCTGCTGCCAGAGATTCAATCTGCACTTTGAGCTTCCCAGATTTATACAAGGCAGAAATGTTGGGTGGGAATGAATTTTCAAGCTGGGCAAAGGGAGAGAAGCATTGACAATTAGGGAGCCAACAGGTACCTCTTTAAACATTTATATAAGCACAACACAGAAGATGCTGGAAAAAGAAAAGTTCCAACGTATTTCAGAAATCTTATTTTTCAGAGATTATTGTGGCACAAAGTAGTGCAAGTGTCCTTGGTGCAACCCTGCTGGGAAGGACTTGGGGGTGCTGGTGGATGAGAGGCTGGACACACCCTGTGTGCACTGGGACCAGAAACCCTCTGTGTGCTGGGCTTCACTAAAATCAGCGTGGGCAGCAGGAAAGGGGGGAATTCTGCCCCCCTGCCCCCTTCAGGTGAGACCCCACCTGCAGAGCTGCCTCCAGCCCTGCAGCCCAGCACAGGGAGGATGAGGAGCTGCTGGAGCCAGCCCAGAGGAGACAGCAGGATCAGAGCAGCTCTGCTGCCAGGAAATGCTGAGAGAATTGCGATTGTTCAGCCTGCAAAGCAGGAGGCTCGGGGAGACTTAATTGTGACCTTCCAGTACCTGAAGGGAACTTACTGGAAAGATGAGGCAGGACTATTTACAAGGGCCTGGAGTGCCAGGACAAGGGGCAATGACTTCAAACTGACAGAGGGTAGGGTTAGATTAGATATTAGGAAAAGCTTCTTTACTATGAGAGTGGTGAAGCCCTGGCACAGGTTGCCCAGAGAAGCTGTGGGTGCTCCATCACTGGAAGTGTCCAAGGCCAGGCTGGACAGGATTCTGAGCAACTTGGTCTGGTGGAAGGTGTCCCTGCCTACAGCAGGGGTTTGGGACTGGATGATCTTCAAGGCATGTTCCAAACCAAACCGTTCTGCAATTATATAATTCTATGATACCTTTGAAAACTGTATCCATCTGACCACTGGTCTTAACAAATCAAGCTCCGAATTTTGGCTCAAGGGAGCAAAATTCCCCCTGGCCCTGTTTGCCTGCATCAGAGCTGAACTGTCCTGGTATGTGTGTGCAGCAGAGCCTTGATGTTATCTCTGTATGTCACATATACATTTTGTTTCATTTGCAAGTGTGGGTGTGGCTTTGGTTCCCAGGGAGCATTTGAAACTCCCCAGATCAAGTTCAGCCTGCACCTGAGTCCAATAATAAAAAAACCTCAGGATGAGAGACAGGAAAAATGGAGGTGGATAACTTCAAAAAACATGTTTGCGACAGCCCAGCTTCAAGGCAGCATCACAATTACATCATGGTTAATTAACAAACCAGTGAGCAGTCACTTCAGCTGAACAAATGGCATTACTCTGAACATTGGCACACTGCTGTCAGTGTTTGAGCTGTGCAGGAGCTGGCAGTTTCACCTCACATGTCTAGAAGGCAGCTCCTTGCTTGAGCCTTTTGTTGCTGCATACACCTCAAAGTGTGCCTTTGAGCATGAATCCAGAGCCACAAATCAGCACAGCTTTGTTCCCATTCAGTCAGAGCTTGCTCAAAAAGATCCCTACAAACAAGCTGTGTAGCTGGTCTAAGCTCACATCAGGGTAGAGAGGCAAGAAAATGAGGAATGAGAGTGCTCACAAGCACCCAAGGAGGCAGAATTAACACAGATGGGCAATGCTCCTTTTTCTTCCCAACCTGATGAAGCCAATCAGGTCTGCATTAATCTCAGAGAAGACTCACTCACAATAATCTTCCTACACAACAAAAGTGAACAACTTTCAACTGTGGGAAATAAAGACACGTGAGGAGGTTCAACTTGCAATTTCTGTTGGGCAAATGCCTCTTCTCTGCTGCCCTTGAATGTATACCTCCATTATTGTTTTGGGTTTTTCTCTTGCATTTAAATTCACACATGATTACAAGTCACCCTTTGTTTTGGGGAACCCTTGTGTTGGGTGGAGATCCCAATTCCTCTGTGTGGGCCCTGTTCTGTGCAGCAAAACTGTAGGAGATTGCTCCATCTGAAACCTCCCCCTTTTTTGGGGGAGCTGCCACCAGACTTCATGACTCAAGTTTTGCTTCTGGCTGATTACACCTGGCTGTGGACAGTGGCCACATGTGTGCAGGCAAGGAATGGGGCTGGAGAAGAAAGCCTGATCCAGATACTTTTCCTGAAAGAAGAAAGAGAGCAGGCAGAGAACTATTAATTTAAGAGGAGTAAGACATTTATTGAGCAGACTGTGCTGAAATGAATGCCAGGAATGCCATTTCAATAATCCATTTAAAAGCCTCAAGTTAATTTACTGTGAGTTTATTGCCAAATTAAAGATCCAAGGAAAGAAGCCCCTGTTGCATGCCTGCATTTATAATTCCTTCACTCTTCTGCAAGAGAAAATTCTCACTGGCTTCATTGCTAACAAGGCCAAGGGCTTGATCTGTCTAGTCAGTTGAATTTTGTTGTAATTATAAAGAAAGGTCACAGGAAATAGTATGCTGATTTTTGAAGGAACATTTCATCCAGGCATAAAATCCTCTATTAGACTAAATAAATTTTACATTAAATATATATACATATTACCTAGAGATATAGTCATTTTACCTCTGTAAGCAACAGCCTTGAAAATTCCTCATATGCTGAGCTGCTGGAATTATGGAAATCATCAGTGAAGTTGTAGTTGAGAATCCTCATAGTAACATCAAATATCTTGGCCTCTGTCAAACACAACATTAAAACACACTGACAAAGTAGGAAAGGATTCAGTCAAAATTTATGTACCTGGACCAAAATCTCAGCTGATAGAAGAAAGGTTGAGAGAGATTGGTATTAAATAAAAAAAATAAATCCAATAGGCTCCTACAAGCTTCTGATACATTGAGAAGATGCACTTATATCAGATATAAAGAGATATTTTGGTGCCTAATTGCAACTGCAGGAGAAATAGGTGTACACATACTTTACGTGTGGGTTTACACACACCTGGGCCTGGCCCTCATAACCCCTGCCTTGAAATTACACCCAGGGTTGAATTGTCCACGGGCTCATCTCTGACCCACCAGTCACAGTTTTTATTTATTTGTTTTCCTGATCTTGGCAGTGGGGATAGTAAATATATTCTTAAATTGAAAATACAGCAAAAAGCTGTGCATGCCCCTTGTGTGTGTGGTGAGCCCTGACAGATACTGTACAGAGCACAGGAGCCAAAACCAAGAGCCAAGGAATCTCTAACTGCTTTGTCCTGTATAAACACTCTCAGGCTGTTACTCCTTGGACTGATCCTTGGAAAAATTTTCTTTTTCTCAAGTGCTCCAACTTCATACTCTGAAGTTCAGCTCTCTGTTTTCATAACCACTAGACCTCCTACTTTCCCTCCACAAAGAGAGTAATTTCCTTCTGACCCAAACTGGAGTCATCCCTCATCTCATCAAAGGGAAGGCTCTTAGGGATAAACATGAACAGCAGCATTCCCACTGTGGTCAGTAATAAAGTGTTCACTGCCTGCTCTTTGAAAAAAAAAGGGGAGAGATTTATTTCTTTATTTGCATGGAGGCTTAGGAAATAATTTAAGACTAGAGAAAAAGCAAAATTATGTTTGATCAACACACTAGAGCCTCAGGAATCTCCCACCACCAGTTAATTGAACAGAACTGGGCAGGTAGTCTGCAGCTTTCTTAGTCAGTCCTTGTAATTCTCTTTAATCCTTTATTCAGCAGAATCTGCCCTTCCTCTGGGCACTCTTGTTAGCTCAGCTGAGCCCTTGACAAACCAGTTGCCTGGATTTCCCTCTGGCCACAGCCATCAACCAGGGAAAAACGAGGCCTGCTGGGAGATGGGTGCCATCAGAAAGCAGTGCCAGGCATCAAAGAAATAAATATTTTTAAAAAGAATTATAGCTAGCCTAGCCTGATATCTGTAATAGTCTAATCCACTCCAGAACTGCTTTATCAACTAAGGCCAAAGTTCTGCTGGGTTGGATAAATGCTGGAGTAGATGAGACAAAAAAGTGCTGAAGGAGTTGTTCAGTGAGGACCAAAGGGTCATTGCTGAACTGCAAGTGAGTGGGCATGGAAGGAGGAGAATGGAGAAGACAGAGATATACTATATTATATAGATGTATTTTAAAGTGTTTCTTTACCTGTTTTAACATTTTGATGGGAGATAATGGTTTTTCCACAAGTTTCATAGCTGATCTCTACTGAATACATCACACCTGCTTCCAGGTGAGACACATCCAGCTGCAATTCCTCTGTCTTCAGGTTTTGCACAGTTTCATTGCCCTTGGCCACCCGGACTTGGAAAGTGTGGTTCAGAGTGGAACTGACAAGCCAGGACATTCCAAAGCTGTTGCTGGTAACGCTGAGGATTCGATGGTTTGTAACTGCAGAGGGATCTGTTGCAGGAGTTGGCACAGAAAAAGCAACATTTCACTTTTAAAACCTTGTGCTGTTCTAAATCCACTACAGACAAGCACTCTGACAGTCAATAGGGTCAGTACAGAATCTGCCCCTCTCACACCAGCAGATCCCCTCATCCACGAACCATCCCACTAGAGTGACTGATTTAGTGTTTAACCTTTTTATTTCCTTTTACTATATGCACTTCTGTTCAATCATAGAATCACAGAATAGTTTGGACTGGAAAGAACCTTAAAGATCATCCAGTTCCACCCTCTGCCATGGGCAGGGACACCTTCCACTAGAGCAGGCTGCTCAGAACCCCATCCAGCCTGGCTCTGAACCCTTCCAGGAATGAAGCAGCCCCAGTCCCTCTGGACAACCTAATCTCCTCCAAATCTCCAGTCACAGAAATAATCAGCCAGCAAGCTACAGGTGCAAGCAACAGCAATAAGTTTGGAAGAGTGGCTCTGGGTACTCTACATGTGTTGACACCTGCTTTGCCTCCTGTGACTTTAATCACCAAAATTCACCTGTTCAGGCAAAGGTTGCCTGGATTTATCCTGGAAAACCCCCCCAGAGCCCAGCTAACAGAGGCTGGGGGAGAGTGGCGTGCAGCACTTCACCTGTCATTCCACTCTAGTCCAGTGCAATCATTGTCATGTCAATGGGAAAAGACAGGGCCCTTCAGAGATGATTCCTGTCCTGGGAGGAGGAGGTGTTTAAACTGGGCAGGATGAGTTGCCCTGCAGCAGAGCCAGCCTGTCTAGCCCGAGAGAGAGAGCCCAGACAAGACACCTCTGCTGGAGAGAGCTGGGGCCAGGAGAAATGAGCATCACACCCCAGAGACCACTGTGTGCTGCTGCCACAGCTTCAGGTCCTTCATGCTGATGGTTAGGCTAAGGAGAAAAGGTTGTTTTCATAAATTGCTTCAACAGAACACAATTGTTTCCAGCATTCTGAGCCAGGTGGCTGCCAAACACCCCCAAAGCCACTCCCTCCTGTGCTAGAGGGGCCTCACTTTAATTCCTCTGGCTTCAGCTTCGATCAGAAGTCGTGGATGAAGATCAAGAATATCCAGCCTGTCTCTCTGAACTCTCAAAGAACAACTTAAATCTCTTTCCTCCCACAGAAGAACAGGGTGTTGTTAAAAGGGTTGTAATAACTCTTGCTTGAAAGGGCTGGATCACCCATATAAACACAAATCTACTGAGGTTTGTTCCCATCATAAATCAAGACAGCATTTATTAAAATCCAAAGTCACTTACAGCACCCAGCATCTGTAGATTGGTTGGTTATGGGCAAGAGACTTGATTTCCTTAGAGAAGGAGAGCTACTGCCAGTATTAACAGCATTTACTGCACTTGGAGTAGATGCTACAATGCCTAGGGGAAAATCATATTATCAGAGTTAGAGTATTTCTAAGGAAACAAATCCAAAATAATACCATTCAGGTTTTCCACATGACAAGCAGCAATAGAATAATAGAAGTAAAAAATAAGTGTTATCATATCACAAAAGCATAAAGTAATACATTATCTTAATTTTTGAGATTAAGGAATTGTAAAATTGTTTTCTAATTAAAGCATAGAATCTGCAAGCAGTTATTCATCTCATTATCTTAAAGCCTATTAGCAGGCCCATTGATGTCTGTGGGCTGTAAGTACATTTTGCTGAACTGGTACCACAAGGAATTATTTCAGCCAGTGCCAAACTCCAGCTGCTTGCAGCAGAGAGCTCAGCAGCAGTGCAGGAGCTCAGGGTGGGATCACACAACCACTGAGTCCGGGCTGCAGTCAGAACAGGAAAATAGAAAATGGTATAAATAATGCCATTAATTGTTTCTCAAGAGGCTGGGGAGGTGCACTGACAACAAGTGACTTGCTCTGAGAAGCAGGAGGGTCTGAAGTTTCAGGTTTTGGCAGGGGAGTGAGGACAGCTGAGGGTGAAATAGAGGAAACACAAGGGACTGTGAAATAAATCCTCTGAATTTCAATCAGAAATAGGTATCAGGTTTCTGTGGCATTTTCTCCAACAGGAGGAGAAGAGGCACTCATGCACCAGAGATTCCTGCAGGTGACTCCTGCAAAGGAGCACAAAGTCCTGCAGGAACATCCTCAGCACTTCCCAGGGTGAGAGCTACATCTCTTACCTTCCTTCCTGGGGCTCAGCCAGTGAGGGATGACAGCGGCATGGTCATGCTGGGGGTGGCAGCTGTAAGAACCCTCCAGGTTTACACAGCTGCTTTTCTCAGGGCAAGCATTGAATTCAGCATAGGAGCATTCATTGACATCTAGGAAGAACAACACACCTTGCACAGATATTGGGAGCAGCATCAAGATTGATCTGAACTGTGTGTAGACCAGGCTCTGGCTATGATAAATTCAGTGGAAATCTGCAGTAATGCTGTTAAAGCCATTCTGGATGTTACCACCCTAACACTTTTACCCAAATTCTTTGGAATTAGAGGACAATCAGGGGCAGCTCCTGCTTACAGCTGTAGGACACCATCCAAACCTGAGATGTCAGCACAGGAGGAAGGAAGACTACCCAGTGATTTCACTGAAGGCTGGACTGAGCAAACACAGAATAAGAATAATGCATTTCAGGAGTGAAAATGTTCAGACAACTGCAGAACAATAAGTAGCTTGACATAATTTAAAATTAATACATTGAAATGTTTATGTAACATTTAAAAAGTATGTAGTAATGTGCTATAGTAATTAAAAGACTATAAATATTGCTTGTTTCATACAAGGTACTGGATAATATATTTGCTTCCCAAGAAAACAGGTTTTTAAGAGCCTGTTTAATACAACTAATGATTGTGCATAAAAAAAAATATTTGCTTTTTCATCTGAAAACTATGTTACTGGGAGAAAATAAATTTGAGGGTTCAGAGGCGTTCCCTTCCAAACTATTCACTCCAAAATAATCATTAACTCTCCATCCTATAGCAGAAAGGTCAGGGCTGTGTTTGCAAAGTTTGCAAGTTCCTCTGTGCTACCTTGGAAAGCAAATTAATGGTTATATAAATGAGATCCCAAGTGAAGAGGGACAAAGCCCCTAAAATGTGACAGGATTACAGTCAGTGACCTTGCGCTTGTGCGTCAATCACTTCATACACGCGCTCCACCATGGCCTTCAGGGAGGAGGAAACCTCTGCCAGAGGAGCTGGATGGTGCATGCCCAGGAGAAGCTGGGAGGCCACTGTCCCAGCGTAGATGTCCCCACGGTCACTCTGGATGTGGTGCACAGAGGCATTCAGGGGCTGCAATGCACCAGTGATCTGGAAAAAAGGGCAGCAGACACTGGAGCACCTTGGCCATTTCCCAGCACATGAATTATGCAGTGGTTATTATCATAATCTGAGTGCAGGAAGAAATTCAGAAACCATGGCAAAGTGGTTTAGGCCTGTATTTATGCAAGATGAGTTCTTATTTTCACATTTCACAGCAGATTTATGTTACAGAAATGCCAAGCTCAGGGGGGTGTGGAGCTGATCTCAAAATGCTTTGGCAGAAGGAGTGTCCTGGGTTGTAAGATGTGTGTATTCTATCCCCACCTGTCAGAGCTGGGGCAGTTCTCTGCTGTTCTTGGGGCAGTTTTTTCTTGATCTCTCCCATAGCCAATCCTCCCTCCAGCAGATCTCTGCTGTCCATGGCCAGGGAGTGTCCCTGCAGGGCTGATTAATACGAGGAGTAACCCAGGAAGAGGTGGGAAAATCCTACTTTGCAAAGTCTCAATGGATTACAATAAATTACACAGGCCACTGCAATTCACCTGCAATAAAACTGTCTAACACTCATTACTTTGAACAGCTAAATGGACTGCTGGCAAAGGGAATAGAAAGAAATAAGAGGAAAAGCAATGGACTCAGGATGAGGGGTGGGATTAAGAGAGACCCCAGAGAGACCCAGCCATCCCAACTGAGAGTCAGGAATGGGAGAATGGATCTGCTGGTGGACTGAGCATTACGAGTCAGTGGAACAGACAGCAGGACACTCTGAGGAGCAGCTCATTGAACAGCTTCACCTCAACTCCCCATTTCAAAGTGTTTGACTTTCACATTGCTTGTTTTAAACCAAGATGTAAAAGCCTTGGTGGATCTTTGCCCCCCCTCCCTACTACACAGCAAGGTTTCCTGCTTTTTTAGGATATGAGAAGGGGAAATCAGATAGGAAGAAGAATGACACCAATGTTGTTGTTATAATTTCTGTTCTCTGCCCATCAGTGCCAGCAGGTTATGGCAGATAGGTTTGTCTTGGAAAGGCTTAACTTAAAATTCCATATCAGAAAACATCATGCTTTGAATGTCTTGAAGTCTGGTCCCAGTCTGTCACAGGCCCAAAACTGAACTGAGACAAAACTGGAGCAAGCACTACTTAAGCAGGAAAAACCCCTTTATTTCAGTATGTCGTTAAATTGCCCTTGGAAGAGACCTAAAAAATTTGCTAAAGAAAGTGATACATCAATGTGACTTGGATTGCTTAAGGACGCAGCTGACATTCAGTAATCAGAAATACAGAAATAATCAGAAATAGGGCCAAAAAACATCAATGGGTCAGAACAAAGGGGGAGCAAAGAGTGGCCCCTGAGTAGCAGAATCACGGGCACAAGGAGGGAAGAGTTTGTTTTTGTACATACCACGGAGTGCAAAAGGCGGGAATGATTCAGAAGGTGGGAATCCACCCGGATCAATTCATTAAAATCCATTTTCACAAGCACTGTCACGTTGTACCAGAACATCCTCCCTGCAGTGGAGGAAATAAAACAGCCAAGTCATCTGAGCTCTGGTGCTACAGAAGGCGACAGAGCTTGAGGGAGGCTCTGAGGAAACCAAGCAAGATTTCACTTGGCAAACGCTGACGGGCCCACAAACAGCCCAGCCAGGGCCTCGTTTGCCATATGCCACAGGCAGAGGAGCCAGCCAAGCAGAAGGAGCCAGGGAAGGTTTGGGGGACCCACAGCATCCACACACCACTCAGTGCTCAGGGGTGCAGGCACTGAAGCTGAATATCCTGGAATCCATCCAAGGCACAATCCCGTATTTGTTTTAGGAAGAGCTATGGTAACAGTTTTCCTGCCCACTCCCACCCTCAGGAGGGAAAATTAAGGATATTTCTATTAGAAGCAGTGTTGAATTTATCAGTAACATACCCTCTGGCATGGGATCCACACAGCCTGCTCCTTTGGATGAGCTGCAGCATTTTTTCAGCCCTGGACATTCAGTATCGAATGTGCAAGGATAATCAAATGTTTCCATATCCTTCACTGGACAAATACCAGGTCTTGAGGCAAATACACTGGATCTGTTGAGTGCTAAGTAACAAAAACATTTCTGAGAACAAAAATACAGAAAGTTTTTTCCATAAAGTTGTGATATTTAATTTATACTAAATACCTCCTCCTCATTTTAGAAGCATGTCTGTTCTGAGTTTTTAATGGGAAGAAAACAGCAGCCTAAAATATCATTATTTCATTTCAAGGTTGTAAATATTCTCAGATCTTTCTCTTGTCCATGACATTTCTGTTACAGAAATTTTGAGTTTCTAACTTTCCATTAATAATTATGGATGGATGGGCTCGTAGGTAAGTTTCTAAATGTGGAGACACTGAAGCACTGAGAAACAGAAAATGTGCCTGATATCAGCTGTGACTAATCCAAATAATATATAATGATCAAAGAAAACAGGTACTGTGTAAGATGGAAGTTGAGAACTTTCATTTAACGTTTTGTGGCACAAATTTAACCTTAGTTGCAGTAATTCTGTTCCAGCTGGCCACTCCAGGAGGTTGGTGGCCCACGCCAGAGAGCCCTGCAGGGAGGGCAGCTGAGGCAGGAGGTTGCTGCTTCCCAAGCCAAGGGCAGACAGTGGTTCTGGGTCAGAGCAAGCACAAAATCTCTCCTAGGGAGGAAAAGAGAAAATATTTCCAAGCCCTACAAACTCACTTTTTTACCCACACTCCCAACTCAGCTCTGGTCTTTCTAAGCGACCTGAAAGAAATCTCTTTTCCATTTGTTTTGCACCTCCAGTTTTGCACATCCTTTACTGAGCAATTGAAGTCAGCCAGGAGAAAAATGAACCTGATTGCTGCAAGAGAAACAGTTGTGGTGCAGGAAAACCGTTTGTTTTGCACCTCCAGTTCTTTCATCCTTTACTGAGCAATTGAAGTCAGCCAGGAGAAAAATGAACCTGATTGCTGCAAGAGAAACAGTTGTGGTGCAGGAAAACCACATTTGACGTCATAAAGCCCATAGCAAGTGAAAGGCCCACAGCAAACTATAAATCTATTCTGAACAGTCAGTTCTGTGGGTTTACAATTTCTGTTATCCCAAGGCTCTGGATGAGAGTAAATGTGAGGTTTCTGAGAAGCAGGAGGGGATATTGAATCTAGCACTTTTGGCCTCAGCCAAGTAACCTTCTTAGCCAGGGAAATTATCTTGATTAACCAAGATTTAAACTGAATCTACACATTTTGCTGCCACATGCACGTTCCAGGTCCTCCTCTCTCTGGGGCTGGCACTCCCACAAGTGGTTCCCCAAACAGGTCCTTTTCCCAGAAATATCCCTATTGATTTTCAAAGCACATTCAGCTGTGAAACAGCCTTTTTTGCCCTTAGCTGATTCTCACACACATTCCCAGCCTCAAGAGATTGCTCCTCCTGTGCAGGGAGCCTCTCACACTGGATTTTGCACAAACATGAGCACCAAGGGATTTCCTTGTGTTAGAAAATTCCCTATTCACCAGTGCTCTGTACTGTTCAAACCAGGCAGCTGGACCCAGGCGTGGAAATTCCTCCAGCTCTGAGATTCAAGTGCAGTTCAAGAAGGTTTGAGGTTCAAAGCAGTTTTGTTTTGGTTTTTTTTTTCCCACCTGTGTCACTTTTTTGTGTGTGTGTTTAACTGCAGTGTAAATGGTTTAATGAGTCCCATGCAATCTCAGAAAACACTATTGAATCCTGGCTGGGTGCCACAGCAGCCATTTATCTGAAATCAAAAGGTCATCTTTTTCAGATCAACGGAAACAGAGATGGATTCGCTTCACATTTCTGCCTAATTGTACCAGATGCACTTTGGAAATTCAATTTATGCTCTCCCCTTCAATCATGCTGGGGACAGTCACCAACCAGGCAAGCAGTGAGGAGCGAGCCAGCCAACTCCTGTGTCATTTGGATGAAGTACAGGCTTTTCTCCTCCGTTATTTACATCAATGTATGGAAGCAGAACTGCAGCTTAGCAACCAAAGGTCACTTGCCAGCCTGCCTCTGGACAGCTGCTGGATCTGCTGTGGCATCTCCCAGGAGATTGATGCTGAGGGACAACACTAGCTCAGCCATAACCCCCTTTCCCTCCCTCCTTCCATCTGGAAGGGATGGTTTCTTCCAGAGGGTGTGGTGGAGCCAGGGACCAGCACCCTGCATTTGTCTCAGGTATCAGAAGGTGGAGACAAATCTATGAAATTACAGAGGAAGCCCCTGGGAAAGTCTGTTCCAAAGGCAGGCTGGCAGTTTGCATCACACAACCCTGGGTTTGGGGTCTCTGAGCCTTGGTAGGCTTTGCTTGCTCAGGTGGATGTTTTCCATCCTGATTGCCTTTCCTGGGGTTTAATTGGGATTTGTGCTGATCCAGCATCTGATAAATATTTAACACCCATCCTGGGTGTTCCTTTTGCCTTGGAGGGGAGAAGGCTGAGAGGGATGTGGTCAAGCTTTACAAAATCCCAAAGGCAGGGGCAAGGTGAAGGCAGAGCTGGTTTTCACCAGAGCCCACAATAATAAAATGGGTGAAAGAACTCACTTCTTTACCCAGACAGGAGGAAACTTCTGCAACTTGTCAGCACAGAGGGTGTGGAGACAGACAGCTTTAGAGGGCTCAAAAAGGGACAAGGCAATTCCCAGACAGGATTCCCATCAGCAGACACCACGGGGAACAGGCAGGGATGCCAACAATCCCATTTCTGCTGGGGGCACACAAGGGACACAAACTGCAGGGCAGCCAGAGCCACCTGCTTCTGGGTGCAGTCCCACAGGACATTCTGGCACCTTCCCACCCCAGGCTGATGCTGCAGTGCTGCCCATGTGTGACACCACTGTCCCCTGGTTTTCCTGTGACACAGGGACAGCTGTGGCCAGCTGCTGCTGCTCTGGTTACAGCCAGCATGGGAACATCTGCATGCCAGCTCTGGAAAGTCCCAGCCCTGCTGAGGAGCTGCTTGGACACCTACAATGAGCTTTTTTTTCTTTTACTCTGTAGTTGATTCTCTGAAAACCTTCAGAAATTGTACACACAAGGCACACTTAAAGCCTGATTTAACATTGCAAATCAAGTGCTCTCAAGAAAATCCACAATTAAAGTTGTGTTGAGCCTTCTTAAGGTATTTTTGTATGCATGTGCTTAAAAACCAGGCTTCATCATGTGCTGATGCACTCTTTCCTTCCCTAGCTGGGGATCAGGCAGGGTTAGATGGCAGATAAGGAGTTCTCTGGTTTCATCTTGTGCTGGAAAGTGGGCAGCAAGCCAGCCACCAGGAGAAATAACCACAGCATCCTTTCAGGCAGCTGGAAACAAGCCTGGAGAGCTGGATCCTGTCTCTATCTAAAAGGCAAGATGCTGGGAGAAGTTTTGTGTGGTGAAACAACCTTCAGGGTTTCACAGGTCCATGAGCTTGACCTGCAGCCCTGTGCCCCAACCATACAACTTGTTAAAAGCAGCACTAGGCACCATGAAAATCAGAATAAATTAATGAAAAAAATTAAAACTGCACCCAAGTTGTCTGAAAGCAGGTCTGAAACCACCCCAGAATGATCTCAGTTTCTCTGCAGCTCAGTTGCCCATCTGTGAACGACACAGAAGCTCCCTCGCTTCCCACAGCCTTTGTGAAGGCAAATTGCAGCCTGTGAATCCCCCAGGATTCACCTTCAGAGGTGATAAATAATTCTCTACTCAGTGAGAGGCTGAGCAGAGCACTGAATGTGGAGGTCAGGATGGCACACACTCTGGGGAGCTCCTCAGAGGGGCTCCAGCATCCCTGGGCACTGGGAAATGTGGTCCCTGGGGCACTGCAGAGCTGGGTCAGGTAATTAAAGGAGTTCACTGACCTGCATGCCTGGGCAAAAAGAGAGAAAGCAAAGGTTGTTTTATTTAATTCTACCTTAAGAATTCATTCCAGCACTTCCTAACTTTTAGATGTTTAACTTTCCAGCTGCTGTTTAAAAATGTCAAAGTCATTTGTGTGTGCACCTGTAACACTATCCTGATGGACAGCCACACAACTAGTGAGAACTACCAGAGCAACTTGACCAGTGGTCTAGAGTAAAGAAACAATAAAGGCAGGGCCTGCCATATCCCAGGCAGGGGTAGATGTTTCCTTCTAGGAAGAGAAGGTGAGGAGTGGCCAGGAACAGGCTGCTGTGAAAGGTCATGGAGACCTTTCCCCCCCTGGCAGGATGGAGAGCACACCAGCATGGATAACATCAAGAAGAAAATCACAGTAGTTCAGCAGCGTGCTGTGCAGTAATTTCTGCAGTTCCAGTTTCTCTTCTCATCATTTATTTAAGACTGTGTCTAGACAGTGCATTACCATTCACAGAATTTATGACTAATGCCCTGAAAAGCAAAGATACCAGAATAATGTAAACATGGAAATCACCTAGAAGCCACACAAATCCTTAAATGGTTTTAAATATTCCCAAGTTAACTTTTACAGGAAAAAGTGTCAGGGTGACCACAGTATTTCATGGACAAACCTGCCCAGAGTGCCCATCAACAACATGGCAAGGGCAGGGTGGAAAAATTGTGCAGCTAAGCTTTACAAGAGATTTACAGATTTGTTCATGTTGGATGAAACAGAATCATCAACAGCTCTCAAGCCTAAAATATCCCTAGAGATGCTTTTAAGAGACAGAATTATACTGGGAAAGAAATATTTCAAGTGTTACCAGGATGCTTTTTTTTTCCACACAAGAAGATGGTTTTGATTTTCAGAGGTTCAGAAACACCTGAATTTCTTGTGCAAACAGTGACAATCATGGTGACTTTTCCACATTTAGCTGGCACAGCTCTTTCTTTGTACTACAGAATTAAAAAGCCATTTTCTCTGATTGCCTCCCAGTCTTGCCATTTGACACTCACAGGCACACATGCCTGCACATGTCTGTATATCCAAAAGACTTCACTTAAGTAACTTTTCAACCATAATTAGATGTACCAGAGATTTTCCCCAGTGTGGAACTGATGCTTGGAAAATAGAAGATGATCAGCAGCAGGTCCTTTGCCTGTCTGACAAATCTGCTTGGGCACACAGTAATCTGCAGCTCAAATTCTGCTTTGCTGGGACTCCACAACAGCCAAAACAATAGCAGGATACAGCAAATTAGGAATTATTATTTAATTTCTCTTCTCTAGCAAATATTTTTGGGAACAAATAAAACATATCAACCATTTTTGTATTCCCACCCTTCTGTTAAAATCCTGCTAGACACAATATTCTACCTGTGACTGTGGAGAAAACGCCGGGGGGGGGAAAAAAAAGTTTGGAGGTTCTTTTTTCAATGCTCTGAAGCAACTTAAATGTGGGATGAGCACATTGTTCTTGACAGATCCCATGACAGGACATATGGCTCATCCCCCCTCATGCCACGGTACATGATCCGCTGCAGGAGCAGGTTTGGGGACATTCCCACACATCTGAGTCACCCAAGTCTTATGACCCAAAACAAGGGCCAGGGCTGCAACAGGACCTTTCCTTTCAATCTGCTGTTCCTGTGTGTGGTTATGTAAATGCCCAGGTCCATACTGAAAAGTGGAAATAGGGAAAATGCAATGTCATACTGAAAATAGGAGACAAAATTATGTCCTGCGGAACTTTTCTGGATGACAGAACAGTTCAGTGCTGGTTTAGATAATCCAAGATGCCTGCTCAGCTTAAAAACATCTAAATTTATCCATTGGAAAAAGAAAGTTCCTTTTCCCCAAGGAATCCCCTCCATCTAGGCCTCACGTTCTGATAAAACTGGGAATTTCTGATTGACAGCTGGTAACCCTGATGTGGAAAGGGGAAAAGCTTCCATCTGGAGACAGAGGTGGTTGAGTCTTCCTCAGTAGAGTCTTATTAACACTCAGGTGTTAGATCAGATCCACCAAAAAGCTCACCAGTTCTCAGACCTCCCACACAGTCACAGGTGACCAAGGAAGTCCTAAGGAAATGGGTCCCAGTCTAGTTTTGGTTGGAAAGCATCTGGTATCAAGTTGCCCTGAGGTCACAGGCTGTTTTAAATTTGAACCAAAACTGGGTTTGCACTCTGAGAACAGACCCTGCTCCACATCAAAGGAGATGTTATCCCAAGTGCATCCTGAATGACTTTTGAGGAGAAAGCTGCTGGTGTAGATGCGGGCAGGCTCAGATCAGACATAGCACCAGACAGTGAATTATTGCTCTTGGCCAGGGATATTGGCCTGAACCTGGACAGGTAATGAGCCCTTGGAGGGCTAACAAGCAGGTGCCTTCCTCAGGCTCCCCTAGAAGTTTAGTGAAGTTGTGACTAGAGGTGACAAACAGCAAGAATCAGGAGCTTTAATCTGCTGTGTCTACTCCTTGCCATGTTGGACAAAGTTTACTGTATATGATTTTACACTCATTTATTTCAGTGAATAGGAACCTATGGCCTAGAACTGAATTAAGCCTTTACACATCTCAGCTGAAGTGAATCTTCTTCCATACAAAGCATTTATTTCCTCTCTTAATCTGACTAAAACTTACCTAGAGAGCAGTAGAGTCCAACCTGCTCATATCCTTCACAGCAATCTGTGAGAGTGATGGTTTCAGGGACTTCAACACTGTGAAACTCTGTTCTGTGGTGTGTCTGGGGACACACCATCCATGGGATCCACCCTCCACAGGATGTCTTTTTCTCATAGGACTTTTGGTAGGCAACCATTTTAAACACACTTTTGGTCAGGGTGTAGTTGCACAGATGGTACCCTAGTGAAGCAAGGCCTTTTTCTAGGAAACAGAAACAGGAAAGAAAAGGATCAGCATTAACTTGTCACCCTGATGGAATTTGGCTTCCTTTTTCTACCTCCATCAAGGCTGGGATTGAAGGCACTTGAGATGATATCTTGAGTTCACGATCAAGTATTTATTGTTTATTATCAATATTACAGCCTCACAGCAGTGAGTTGGGATCAAAGGCACTTGAGATGATATTTTGTGTTCACACTCAGGTATTTATTGTTTATTATCAATATTACAGCCTCACAGCAGTGAGTTCTGCAGCATTTCATTAGCAAGGCACAAAATGGTTAACTATCTCTTCTTACAAGGTCTTTTAAGGCTAAACTGTTCAATTAAGAAATGACACCTAAATTATTTTCACTTTTAACCCAATAACTGATCACTCAAAGCCCTCAGTGCAGACTTTTCTGTCCAATTTCAAAACACCACCCAAACCCATGGAGAAGGAAGAAGAAGGTGAAGAAGGAGGAAGAAGGTGAAGAAGAACAACCTGCCTCCACCCTAAAACCTCCATCTTGCTTCATATTTATTTCTATATTCTAAAACCCCAAACTTTAAGTTTTCCACTCTTTGATATGACACATTTCTAACCAATTACACACCCATAATCCCAGTGCTACCAATGAATTGTGGAAGCCTTTTTCACATCCTCAGGTCCAATGCAGTGCTCCCCTGGGAGTCAGAGTCTGTCTGTACAGAAAGTCTAAAACTCTCAGCATCCAGAACTCCAACATCACCCCAGAGCAGAAGTTCCCTGCAGTACCCAGTGGAAAACTGTTATAAGAAAGCAGAACCAACACAGATGAATGATTTCCAGGAAGGCTGACGCTGGGAAGAACATCGCTTCAAAAAACAGACACAAGAAAGAATTGATGGTGACTGCTTGTCACAGGCATCACTTTGGTCATGAAAGGATGAAGATTGGCAGAAAATTCAAAGAGTTCTTGGTGCCTTCAGGTGTGAGGCAGAAAAAGGGCAATTTAATTCAAGTGAATATTAAAGAAATTTACATATGCTAATATAAATGAACAGTAGAGCACAATAGGCACTTCCAGGGCAGAGTCATCCAAGTCGTTTAAAAGCCCACTCCAGCCTCCTGCTGCCAAAGCCTTCATCACTCCCCACTGACTATAAAGGGAACAAAGGGTGAGGAACTCATGGGCAGATGAGTCACAGTAGATGTCTGGAATAAGACATCCTTCAGACATCACCCTGGGCTAAAACTGGCTACTCATACATCACTGGGAAGCACTTCCAGGTATCTGACACAAAAGGTATTCCTGGAGATCCTGCACTGCCTCTCTGCATTTGTAGCAGACCTTGTTGATCAGCCACTGGAAACCTGCAGTGTTTCACTGACTTTGAGTCCAAACAAAGTCAGTGATAAGGTCACTAAGTGCATCATTTCACACAGGTCTGGGAATGGGACTCAGCCTCCAGAGTTCTGAAATCATTTCTGATGAGGAGTGACCTTGTTAGGTGCTTTTCTTAAAATTGAAAAACTTCAGCAGGGATAGGGAAAAAACCCAACACCAAACAAGAGAGAGGAACCCCAACAACAGCAACAAAAGCAGATGGAGTTTAAGAATTAGCAGTAAGCAACATACAGTCATGTCACAGACATCAGGCTGGCTCCTAATGAGATGTTATAGAAGCCAGAGGGGCTGAGTCACCCTGTGTCCCACTTGGGAAACAGATCAGATGGAATTCAAATGCCTGTATCATCCTCTAGCCAAAGCAGAAGGAACTTTAATAAGGATAAATATGAATTAGCTGCAGAGATTCAAATATAGCAGGACTGTTTTCTTTTTTTCTGAGAGCTCTGAGGGCACCAGGGTCAGCCAACAGACAGACTGAAGCTAGCACAATATACACAACAGGCATACAATAAAAACATTTACAGCTAATCTTATTTGTACAACTTATCTCCTGTCTGAAAACATGAAACGTGTTAAAAGCAATTCAAGAAGGAAAAAAAAAATTAGGCTTTTTTAATCCTGTGCTTTTATCACAGCTAAACAAAAGACATTTGTGCAATTTGAGCAGGACTAGGAAAAGAGCTTTGGAGAGGAGGATCCATTTGCAGCGCAGGGACGGTCCAGAAGAAAACATGGGATAGACTTGGTGTCCAGAAATGGCCTCTGGAAGCCCAGCCCTGCCCTGCCTCACTCATCCATGCCTCCCTCCTGCAGCAAAAGGCAGAGCTGATGCTGGTTGTGCTCCAGGGAGTGCCAGTGAGAGCCAGAGAGCTCCCAGCAGGCTCCAGGGACTCTGTGCTGCTGCTTGGAGCAGGTCAGCAGGAAACACTGAGCGTGGAAACCTCACTCCCTGCTTCTTCCTCCCGGCCAGCCTCCAGCAGGACACCCCTGTCCCTGCTCCCTGGGGCTCTGGGGACAGCCCAGAGGTCTGCACACCCCTGAGAGGCACCAGGCTGCTCTGTGTCCCCAAGCAAGGGGTGGAAGGAGGTGCTCAGGAGGGACAGAAGACACCCAGCCTGGCTCAAAGCCTGGCTCAAACCCAGAGCCAGGAGAAGAGCCCAAAGGCTGGGATGGAGTTCTGACCAGGACATGGCTGTGCAGGAGGAAATGGAAGGAGAAGTGAGCCAGAGAAAGCAGTTATCCTGTAACTTTAGGATAACTCTCTGGGAGAATGGGAAAGGAAAGAAAACGTGGGTTCTGGAGCAGGAATCCGAGCTCAAGGGCTGCTTTTTATTCAGTGTGTTTGATCCATTAGCACCTCACATGAGGCACAAGTGCCTGACAAGAAGCAGGCAGCTGTCATTGCATTTTGGAAAGCATTCCCTTGCCATGTGTTAAGACTGCTCCAAGAATACCTTTCTCTGCAAATGCTCCTAGGCATGTAGGTGTGAGGGGAAAAAAGTATTGCTCCAGCTTTTTTATTTGTTTTCAGATTTTTTAAAAAATTTGTTTGTAACCTGAATGGCTAAATAACCAGGGTGGAACAGAATTAATACCTAAATCATTTTGGTTATAGCCTTTCCCTGGAGAAAGTGCACAAACACCTGTTGTGACAAGGAGCAGGACAAATATTGTTCTATGAAAACGAGAAAGAGAAACTCCTACATTAAGGAATCAGACTGTTATAGTACAAAATCAGGTTTGAGGGGAGTAGGGCAGGTGAGAAGCAAGAGCTCAGCCTTGTTCCTCATCACCATGATCCCTCCTTTCCTCCAGAGCTCATGTAAAGCCTGGCAAGAGCAAAGCAGGGACTGGAAGGGAAAAACTGAGTAAGGAGAGCACTGAGGATTCGTGCTGTCCGTGCAGAGCTGAGGCTGCAGCACTGGAAAGCTAAAAATTCCAGTGTCAGCTGAGCTGGCTTAGTCTCTACAGCAATGTGCAACATAAATACAGGTATGAAACTGAGAATAAGATGCTGTAGAATTAGACACAGTTTATAATTGGAAGCTACAGCTGTCAGAGCAGATATGAAGTCATATTTCATACTTAAACACTGATACTACGTACATATATATATATATATATATATGTACATACACACACACACACACACACTAGGTATAGAATGAGGCTGCCAAAGCCTAAAGAGAAGCTCTGAGATGAGGCTGTGGTGGTACAAAAAGATGCCCTCAGTGCAAGAAGTTGGACTGAAGGTGTCAGGGAAAGGTGCAGCACCACCAACCTCTGCCCCATCCATCACTTCCAGACCGTTCAAAACAAGCTCTGACACTCAGAGAGTTCAATTATTTTGCTGACAGCAGTTTGCTGCTGAGCAATGTGGCTTGGATCAATTTGGGCTCTTTAGCAAATTGGCTTTCTGTTCTCATTACTCCCATCTATGGGATTATGGCACAGTCAAATGGAATTAAAATGCACTGGCTGTTGTTTTCAGTGACTCAAAGTTGCAGTCAATGGCACAGCAGAAGGCAGTTACCTGCCATGAGTATGGATGTGTTACCACTATCACTTCTGGATTTTAGATTTTGTGTGAGAAACCACCAGCTTTCAGCACCATCAGGGACAATATCAATTTTTTTTTTAATGTAAAGAGCATAAACAATTAAAACAAGCCTTTATTAATAGGAACAAACACTGAGAGGAAAGCCTGGGAGCAAAGGCTGCACAGGAACAGGCTCCTTGGAACTCAAGGTTAAACCCAGATCAGAACTGAGAACATGACCAAAAAACAGCAATATAAAATGCTTCATAGCATTTGTGTCACAGCCAGAGCTGCAGTTCTGGAAACTTCACCACTCAGGTGCCACAGGAGCCACTGTGAGCTGAGATCTGCAAAATCTTTTCCTACTGGAGAGCAGTCAGACTGAAAGACAAGCCCCTTTCTTGTCTTGGCATAACCTTAAAAATAAACTGTTAGAACAGCTTCATGGAGGGCAGATTCAAGGTCAGTTTTGAAATGCAAACTCTCCAAAACATGAATGAAAAAAGGATTGTGGGCTCGATTTTTCTACAAATTCCAAATTTTAAAGTCAACACCATTTACTTTAAATGCCTCTGGGATGGGAGTTCTATTGGCCCTAACCTCTGCAAACATCTTTTCAGCTGTGGCTTTGACAGAATAACAGAAAAGTCTGCAAGGCTCTAAGAAATATGTTTTATATTTAACTGAGATTCACAAACCACATAAGTAAAGAAAAGCAATGAAGAGCAGTCAAAAAAATCATAATGTTTTCTCATTTAAATGAATCAAACCAGAAATTAAGTATAAATTAGGGGTTCATTTAGCAGTTACAGTTGGGTTAGGGTTTTTCAAAATTACAGCCCATACCACAGATGAAATTTAAGTATGTCTTCTACAGCTTCACCTTATCCATCCCCAGGACTTTGCCAGGCACATTTCCTGCTAAAGCTTATTTTAGAGACAATTTTCATAAAAATTTGCACAATACTGAAGACGAAGCAGAAATTCTCCTTGTTCATTTCTGGCACAAAGGAAGTGACAAGGATTTTTGCCTGGGGATGAAAGGTTGGAGACAAATGTTGCGTTTTTGC